TGACAGTTTCTGGAGAACTGGTAGCGGAAATTTTGAGCAGTTCGGAGAACTGGCAAATACCACCTCTGGCTAAGCCCTAGAGTGGGGTGGGAATGGGGATTTTGCAGTATCCTTCCCCTGCCACGCCCACCAAGCCATACCACACCCACCAAGTCACGCCCACAGAGCTGGTAATAAAAAAAATTTGGATTTCACCACTGGGTTGGACAAAATGACTTATAAAATCCCTTCCAACTCTGTTAATCTGAACCCCTCCTTCCCTTCCTTCCTGGATGTCTTCTACTTTCATGCCTATACCACTTCAGACAAATATTTGTCCAATCTCTTCTTAAAAACTTCCAGTGTTGGAGAATTCACAACTTCTGGAGGCCAGTTGTTCCACTGATTAATTGTTCTCACTGTCAGGAAATTTCTCCTTAGTTCTAAGTTGTTTCTCTCCTTGATCAGTTTCCACCCATTGCTTTTTGTCCTGCCCTCAGGTGCTTCGGAGAATAGGTTGATTCCCTTTTCTTTGTGGCAGCCCCTGAGATATTGGAAGACTGCTATCATGTCTCCCCTAGTCCTTCTTTTCATCAAACTAATGAACTAAACTAAACTACCCAGTTCCTGCAACCGTTTTTCATATCTTTTAGTCCCCTAATCCTCTTTGTTGCTCTTCTCTGCACTCTTTCCAGAGTCTCAACATTTTCTTCCAATGGCACAAACAGAGCTGCCATCTTGCACCCACACTCATCCACCCACCCACCCCTCCTTGGATGCAGATGATAAAGAGGCAGAGAAGAAAACGTGGGCTAAAAAAAAATAAGGCAATTTACATCTTTCCCACAAAAGCCTCTGGGAAGCAATTCTATCCACTATCTAAATTGCTTGTCATCACTGCATCTAATAGAAGCAAATTCTATGGTTAATTATGTTTTATAAGCCCTCTTTTTCCCTTTCTTAGTCCCTGCCGTTCAATTTTTGGCAGCCACCCCAATGCTGGAGAAGACGTTTTTCTCCCCACATTTTCCACTCTGCACATGATTTATTAACCTCCTCTACTTGCCCTCCTTCCAAGTCCAGTTAAGGAATGCTGTATTTATTTAATAGTGGAAAAATCCTGAATTTAATGCAATCCACACAGATACCCCCAAAAAGAATACAGAAAATTCCCGGTCTTTTCTTCCTTACATATTCTCAGTGGGTCTCAGAAGACCATTCTGTTTCAAGCTATTTGGAGAATAGCTTGACTCCCTCTTCTTTGTGGCAGCCCCTGAGATATTGGAAGACTTCTATCATGTCTCCCCTGGTCCTCCTTTTCATTAAACTAGGCATACCCAGTTCCTGCAACTGTTCTTCATATGTTTTAGCCTCCAGTCCCCTAATCATCTTTGTTGCTCTTCTCTGCACTCTTTCTACACTCTCAACATCTTTTTTACATCGTGGTGACCAAAACTGAATGCAGTATTTCCAATGTGGCCTTACCAAGGCATTAGAGATTTGCACACTCCTGACTGATAAAAGCCAAGTTTATCGCTTTGGCAAGTTTGGTTGGGAAAATTCTTTTTAAAAAATTAACAATGCAGGCTATAAAAATGAGCAGCGCCTCCTTCGAATCCTCTCCCTGCGGATCAGGGGTGTCATTCGGTGACTGGTATGACCCTGGAATTCATGTCAGCTGCGCCTGCCTGATATAAACCAGACTTTCCACTGCATGAATGTGCGTAGGTGGGGAAAGCTCATCTGTGATGCTCCCTTTTTCGGAAAGCTAAAAATCTTCTCACTGGAACGAAAACTGTGGTTTGCATTTAATCCCCTTCCTTTAAAAAAAAACAAACCCAAACTTCTCTGACAAGAGCTGTGGTTCCAAACTCACACAGCCAGCTGTTCTGCATATCCTCTTGGAGGCTGGATAGTCCTGGGGTGAGGATAAAAAGTTGGGCTGATGATGGAAGAAAAATGCATGAAAATGAACGAGGGGGGCAGACCGAGAGCAGATTGCCTCCCTTAAAACATCTGTTGGGTTTCTCTAATGCAGGGACTCTCGATCTCAGCGATGTTAAATTGCGTGGATTTCAACTCAGTTCAATCCTGAGCTATAAATATTCTGTCTTCTATTGGCACCTTTATATAAACAAAGAGCAAACCCCGCTGCCTTCTAACACTGATGATGTTACATAGTAGGGTAATGAAATGTCTGCAAGACAACAGCCAAGCTCAGAGAGGACCCCAAGGGCCCCACAGTCCTCCTCCTCCTCCTCCATTCCACCTCCCTCTAGCCCTGATGATGTTACCTAGTTTGGTAATGAAAAGTCTGCAAGAAAACCACCAAGCTCAGAGAGCACCAATGACCCCTCAGTCCCCTCCTCCTCCTCCTCCTCCTCCTCCTCCCTTTCTCTCTTTTTCCCATTCCCTTTCTCCTCCATTCTGCAAGCCCCATTCCCTTCTAGCACAAATGAAGTTATGTAGTTAGGTAATGAAACATCTTCAAGAAAACAGCCAAGCTCAGAGAGCACCAAGGACTCCATAGCTCAACCTGAGCTATAAATATTTGTTTCTGTTGGTCTTCTTGGTTCTGCCTCTTGACTGGGCTGCCTCGCAGGGCTAACAGTTGGACTTCCTTCTCTGCAGCTCCTACCCTCACCTCTAGCCCTGTTTTCCATGCCAGTCATTTATAGGCAGGGCTAGCTTGATTTCTCTCTGGGGTCTCTTTAGGTCGTCTGAAGTTGAAGCAAGCCAGACAGAAGCTGACATGCTTAAGAACCAAACCTATCTTGCAAAAACGTCATCACTGGAGGCTTTCGAGAAGAGACTGGACTGCCATCTGTCAGAAATGGTGTAGGGCAGTGATGGCGAACAGTGATGTGCGCACGCTGGAGCAGCGGAAACCCGGAGACCAGCTGGCCGGCACATACATGCCTGTTTTTTGACCACTTTGGGGGCCATTTTGGCCCAAAAAACGGCCTGAAAACGACCCAAAAACGACCTGAAAAACAGCCTGAAAATGGCCTGAAAACAGCCTGAAAAACAGGCTTGAAAAACAGGCCTGAAAACAGCCTGAAAAACAGGCCTGAAAACGGCCTGTTTTTTGAGCCATTTTCAGGCCGTTTTCTGACGCTCCGATGCCTGGCTGGCTGGAAACCAGAAGACCAGCTGGCAACGGCGCACGTGCCCACAGAGAGGGCTCTGCGTGCCACCTGTGGCATGTGTGCCATAGGTTCGCCATCACAGGTGTAGGGTCTCCTGCTTGGACGAGGGGTTGGACTAGATGACCTACAAGGTCCCTTCCAACTCTGTTAATCTGTTAAAACAGAGGAGAGAGAGACATAGGGAGGGAGGGAGATGAAATTAATGTACATCATGGCTCTTGGCATCAGGCATTTGGGCCACGTGGTCAATATGATCTTTGGGTCAGAAGAAAAAGAAAGACATCAATCACCCAACACGGCACTAAAGGCATCTTACGTGGTGCGAAACCTGCTGTTTAACCTCCTTGAATTAACTGTCCTTCATCCCATGCTATGCAAATAAACACTGCGGTCCAAGGTCAGCAGCAAGAATTATAAACTGAGCATCCCAGGAGGTGGAATTTCTGTATGGAAAAAGCAACGTGGCCTCACTCGTAGGAGGTGGACCAAGGATGATGGAAGGGCAATCTTTCTGAACTTGGCACTCGCCTGATCTTAGCCACGCAGTCAGACAAATACAGTAGTGGCCAAAATTGTGGAAACCTTTTGGGAAAAGTGTATTTTTGAGATTTGATGGATAAAAACACCACTTTTTTGGGGAGTTGCAAGATAATCCTATTCCACTGCTGGAATGGCCTGGGAATAGCCCAGACCTTCACCCAGTTGAAAATCTATGGAGCCGACTAAAGAAACTTGTTAGTCACAAGCGACCCAGCAATAAAACCCAGTTAATAGAAGCAATCCTTCAATCTTGGTTGGAGGTCTTTAAGACGAGATCGGACAACCACCTGTCTGAAATGGTATAGGATATCCTGCTCGAGGGAGGGGCTCGTCTAGAAGACCTCCAAGGACCCTTCCAGCTCTATTCTGATTCTATTCTGATGCACCACCAGTGAGCGTGCAATCCTGCACCCAGCACCGAGCGCGCAACTTTCCACCAGCTCGGCGGACCAGCCTGCAACCTTTCCTCTTCGAAAAGACGTGGGAAGAACGGAACCTCCCCGTCTCGCTCGTTTCCACACGGAGCGTCCGACCGGCGCGCGGCTCCCCCGAGGGCGAGCCACGTGGCTCCCGAGGAAGTGCCTCTCACGGAGGTGAAGCGGGTCTGGGCGAAGAAGCGCTGGGAGGGGTCCAGGGGCGGGGGAGGGGGAGGGGAAGAGGGAGACTTGGATTGGATTTGCATTCAAAAGGAAGGAAGGAAAGAAGGAAGAGAAGGGAGGGAGGGAGGAAGAAAAAAAGAAGGGAGGGAGGAAGAAAAGGAAAGAAGGGAGGGAGGGAGGGAGGAAGAAAAGGAAGGAAGGAAAGAAGGAAAGGGAGGGAGGGAGGAAGAAAAAGAAAGAAGGGAGGGAGGGAGGGAGAAAAGGAAATAAGGAAGGGAGGGAGGGAGGAAGAAAAGGAAGGAAGGAAGGAAGAGAAGGGAGGGAGGGAGGAAGAAAAGGAAGAGAAGGAGGAAGGGAGGGAGGGAAAAAAGGAAGGAAGAGAAGGGAGGGAGGAAGAAAAGGGAGGGAGAAAAAGAAGGAAGGAAGGAAGAGAAGGGAGGGAGGGAGGAAGAAAAAGGAAAGGAAGGAAGGAAGGAGGAGAAGGAGGAAAAAAAGGAAGGTAGAGAAGGGAGGGAGGAAGAAAAGGGAGGAGGGGAGGGAGGGAGAGAAAGAAGGAAGAGAAGAAAAGAGAAGAGAGGGAGGGAGGGAGAAAAAGAAAGAAGGGGGGAAGGAGGAAGAGAAGGGAGGAGGAAGAAAAAGAGGGAAGGAAGGAGGGGAGGGGAGGGAGGAAGGAAGGAAAGAGGAAGAGAGAGAGAGAAAAAAGAGAGACGAAAGGAAGGGAGGGAGGGAGGGACCAAGCAGGCATCTGGGTGCAAATCTGCAGTAACTCTTTCTCTTGGTATGGTTGGAAATCTGTTTCTTTCTCCCCAGCTGGGGACGTGCACTCTGCCCATGCCCTGGAGACACCTTCTCTGTCTGCCTTACAGGTAGTCCTTGACTTACAACAGTTCATTTAGTAACCGTTCAAAGAAGAGACTTAACAACAATTGAAAAAAGGGACTTGAAAATGGGAAAAAGTGACTTAGGACCATTTTTTTACACTTACAACCCTGAGGTCACATGATCAAAATTCGGACCCTTGGCAACTAGTTCATATTTATGACAGTTGCAGTGTCCTACGGTCACGTGATCAAATTTTGAGATCTTCCGGCAAGCAAAGTTCAACAGGGAAGCCAGATTCACTTAACAACTGAACAACTGGGGCAAGAAAGGTCGTAAAATGGGGCAAAATTCACTGATGTCTCACTTAACGACAGAACTTTGGGGGTCAATTGTGGCCTTAAGTCGAGAACCACCTGAATTTTATTTCCAGACCATCCGTCTTGCAATTGTACTGAGTTCAAAGTTGCAATGCTCAGTGTTGGGCAGAGAGTTGCATGCATTCTTGCAATTAAATGGGGGCACTATATTGTTCTCCTCCCTTGTGACAAACAACCCTGCAAAGTAGGACAGGCTGAGAGAGGTATTAAGGTTGAGGTTCAGGGCTGTTTATTGTAGCCGTTTATACTGTTGCAGGATGAACAACGCAGCAAAAGTTTTGTTTTCAGATCTTCGTCAAAGTCTTAACCATCTGCTTTTGGGGCGGGTTCTGATTAAATATCCAAAAATCTTGATTTGCAAAAGAAAACGTGTTTGGTGCAGTGGCCAACCAAAATCTCTGCATGTGTGTTTGTAAGGTCCCTGGGAATTTAACTAAAATTTGAGAAAATTTATTAAGATTTATTAAACCATATGGAAAGAGGGAAAAGGAGGTTTTTAGGACAACTAAAATTACAATTTTAACATCTACTGAACTAGTGCTAAAACAGAATTAATTTACAGAAAAAATGGATCCAGAAGATGCTGAAGAGGTGGCCGCTGAATTGCAGGGCAAGAAAATAGATGGCTGGGGTGTTTTACAAATTGCAGCCGGCACAGGCTTGACGGTTTATGTCGTGTGGGCAGGAATTCTTATGCCCGGTTTCCGCAAGGTGCCCTTAAAACTGCAGGTAAAACCAAGTGACCGAATAAGGCTTTTAAAGGGGAGAATGGCACTGAGTTGTGCAGGCCAGGGAGAAAATGGGGATGGGGGAGTGAGGACACGTTAAAAGGGATTTTGTTTTCTTCCCCTCCGTCCTCGACTTTTACATGTCGAGCGCTGGAGGGGATTTTTGAAGTCAAAACTCTTAAAATATGGCAGAAAGGCCTATGGAGATTCTCAATCATCCAGATCATGATTGTCCCAAAGGTCAAGAGGCAAGTGGACTTCCTTGTTTTTCCTTGAAGACCTTTTGCTTCTTATCCAAGAAGCTTCTTCAGCTCTGACTGGATGATAGGGAATGGAAGGATCTATACTCCTTGCAGACAGAGCTGGTTATTTGCATTCTTATAGAGTCATTGACTAAGGGACGCTGTGGCTCAGTGGCTAAGACGCTGAACTTGTTGATCGAAAGGTCGGCAGTTCAGCGGTTCGAATCCCAAGTGCCGCATAACGGGGTGAGCTCCTGTTACTTGTCCCAGCTTCTGCCAACCTAGCAGTTCGAAAGCAGGTAAAAAATGCAAGTAGAAAAATAGGGACCACCTTAGGTGGGAAGGTAACAGCGTTCCGTGCGCCTTTGGCATTGAGTCATGCCGGCCACATGACCACGGAGGTGTCTTTGGACAGTGCTGGCTCTTCGGCTTTGAAACAAGAGATGAGCACCGCCTCCTAGAATCAGGAACGACTAGCACATACGTGCGAGGGGAACCTTTACCTTGACGTTAGAGTCATTGAGGCCACTTGGAGGTTTGTCTGTATCCTCAGGGTCACCTGAGTCGTGCAAATGGGTGCGAAACCTTTTTGGAACTGTTGAAAGGACTGTGTGTTGTGGAGCTGTGCTTTCTGCAGGACATTTTCAGCCCTGTGTCCCTTCACTGTTGAACACAGGCTGTTGGGGATGAGTCTGTGTTGTCTCCATCTCAGACTGAAGCGCAAATGCTTCTTCTTCAAAGAAAAAACTGGAAAGTCCAGTTGCCTCTTGAAAAAAGCACCTTTGGGAAACCATATATAATATATAACAGAGTTGGAAGGGACCTTGGAGGTCTTCTAGTCCAACCTCCTGCTTAGGCAGGAAACCCTCCACCATTGCAGGCAAACGGTTGTCCAACCTCTTCTTAAAAACTTCCAGTGTTGGAGCATTCACAACTGGAAGCAAGTTGTTCCACTGATGAATTGTTCTCACTGTCAGGAAATTCCTCCTTAGTTCTAGGTTGCTTCTCTCCTTGATGAGTTTCCACCCATTGCTTCTTCTCCTGCCCTCAGGTGCTTTGGAGAATAGCTTGACTCCCTCTTCTTTGTGGCAGCCCCTGAGATATTGGAAGACTGCTATCCTGTCTCCCTTAGTCCTTTTCAGGATGATTCTCAAGTCATCCTTCATGACCTGGATAACAGAATCTCCACAGGCATTTACTCTAGGGTAGAATACCAGTTTCTCTTTTCTCCCTCAGGTCCCCTACGTCCCAGCAAGTGCTAAACAAATCGAGAACGTGATGCAGTTACTCAAAGGCCGTTCTGGGAAGATCGTAGATCTGGGCTCTGGGGATGGCAGAATTGTAAGAAAATCTCGTCGTAATGAAATGCAATGCAACGAAATAAGGGAGATTAGTTAAAATAGAGAAGTAAATATGATGGCGATTCTCTTTATTGTTATAGAATTAATCTCAGCATCATGAATTTTTGTTGTAAACGTTAAGATTCCTGTCTTTCAAACTATTTATACCCAGACAACACGCTGTTTAATGGAAAATGAAACTTTGATATCTTAAAAAATAAAAAGCTTTATGCGAAAAAGAAAAAGAAAAAAATCTTGTTGCTTTGCCGTGTTCTTCTGAAGACATGGCAAACTAGGTGGCTCAGTGGATAAGACACTGAGCTTGTCGATCAGAAAAGTCGGCAGTTCAGCAGTTCGAATCCCTAGTACAGGTCTCTTGCGTGAGCAGGGGGGTTGGGCTAGATGACCTCCAAGGTCCCTTCTGACTCTGTTACTGTTACTGAGAGCATTAAAATGGGACATGGGGAAATCCTGTTTGGCTCATAAAAGATATTTTGCTACTCACTTGTGAAGTCCCCCCCCCCCCAGCCAGGGGTGAAATACTTCTGGTTCGGACCGGATCGCCTGATCCGGTAGTGATGGCAGTGGGTGGTTCGGAGAACCGGTAGCAAAAATCCCTGCGCTCCCTCCCCCATGCCCAGCTGAGCCACGCGATCATCAGAGGCTTTTTTAAAAAACTTTTTAAAGCGTTTTTTCTACAACCTCTTCGGCCGAAAAAATGCTTTTAAAAGTAAAAAAAAAACCCTCTGATGATCGCGTGGCTCAGCTGGGAGCATCAGAGCCTTTTAAAAGCATTTTTTTTACAACCACTTCAGCCGAAGAGGTTGTAGAAAAAATGCTTTTAAAAGTTTTAAAAAAGAAAAAGTTGGCCACGCCCACTCAGCGAGAGGAAACCATGAGGCTGGAATTTTGGGGATTCAAACAAAGGCCTAAAACAAAAAATTGTGGATAAAGTTTGCTCACCTCTAACTTGGCCAGGATATCTGGAGTTTGACCTGTTTTTCCTATTTTCCTCATGACCCATGATTTCAAGAAAATCTGCTTTTGTTGACGATATTATACATTGTTGCTGTTACTGTTTGATGGTTTGATTTGAATATCTTTTATGTTTTTAGTTTTGTATCTTTTTTTCTTTTGTTAAACTGAAAGAAAAGTGCCTTTTATTAGGTAACTGTATCCATATTAAAGAGAGTTGGAAGTAACTTTTTTTTTATTCATTTACTTAAAGCATGGGTTTTGTGCCATTTTTTAAACTTTTTCTGTTGATCCTCACCTTTTTTGTTGTAATTTTGTATTTTAATTTAAAAAAAAAAAAAAGCTTCTTTTGCTTCCCTTAAAATCAGTTGCAGTCTGGGAAAGTTTAGTTTGTCCTGTTGCTCATTATCCTCCTTTAGACCTATTTTTCAGTTTTAGATAGATAGATGGATAGATAGATAGATAGATAGATGGATGATTGTAAATAGATAATGATAGAGATAGGTGATAAATAGATAGAAGATAGATATAGACAGGGAGATAGATAGAGATGATAGATAATGATAGAGATGGATAGATAGATGATAGATAGATAGAGATGATAGTAGATAGATAGAGATAGATAGATAGATAGATATAGACAGTAGATAGATAGATAGAGATGATAGTAGATAGATAATGATAGATAGATATAATGATAGATAGATAGGTAGTAGATAGATAATTATATATATATATATATATATAGAGAGAGAGAGAGAGAGAGAGAGAGAGAGAGAGAGAGGGGGGGGGGTAGGTGGGTAGGTAGGTCGGTCGGTCGGTAGGTAGATACATACATACATACATACATACATACATACATACATACATACATACATACATACAGTAGTGGCCAAAATTGTGGAAACCTTTTGGGAAAAGTGTATTTTCTCAAACTACCTAATAACACCACTTTTTTGGGGGGAGTAGTACCATAAAATTTTATATCAATGGAAAGATAATTGAATCAAGAATATAATGCAATAACTTTTAGGAAGGATTTGCTATTAGAATAGCAGTTACAGTATAAAGAAGAAAAGTGAAACACGTAGAAAAAAAACGAGATATACAAAAATTATCACCATGCCAGTTAATACTTAGTTGGGTAACCTTTAGCATGAATTACAGCCTTACAATGTCGTCCTACAGAGTGAACCAAGTCTTTGAGTTCTGCAGCTATGAAACTAAGATCGAAGGATTGCTTCTATTAACTGGGTTTTATTGCTGGGTCACTTCTGACTAACAAGTTTCTTTAGTCGGCTCCATAGATTTTCAATTGGGTTAAGGTCTGGGCTATTCCCAGGCCATTCCAGCGGTGGAATAGGATTGTCTTGAAACTCCAAAAAAAAAAAAAAAAAAAATCAGTGGTGTTATTAGCCATCAAACCTCAAAAATACACTTTTCCCAGAAAGGTTTCCACAATTTTGGCCACTACTGTATATTTCAGTTATATTGCTATATCAAGAGTTATGTAATCTTTGGTTCTCTTTTGAGATCATAAAATTCTCCCAAATTCTGTTAAAAAATGGAAAGACAATGCTATTCAAAATTTTGAGGTTTGCTTCTGGGAGATTTCCAATTAAAAATTAATTTGGAGATAGAATAGAATAATAGAATTTGAAGGGACCTTGGAGGTCTTCTAGTCCAACCCCCTGCTTAGGCAGGAAACCCTACATCACTTCAGACAAATGGTTAACCAACATCTTCTTAAAAACTTCCAGTGTTGGAGATGGAGATGTCTCTCTCCCCCTCCCCGAATCCTAAGAGAACGGCAGTCAGTCAGAATAAAACCAGATTAAGTTGGATTGTTTGATCTCCTGGAAAGCAGCTCCCTTTGCTTCTGAAGAATACAAATGCAGTAAATAAGCAAACCTGGTTTATATTTGCAGGTCCTGGAAGCTTACAAACAAGGCTTCAGGCCAGCTGTTGGCTATGAACTCAATCCATGGCTGTTGCGACTTTCCAACTATCGTGCATGGAAAGCTGGGTGTTACGGAAAAGTTTCTTACTACAAGGAAGACCTTTGGAAGGTGAGAAAAAAGGGAAAGACATTGGAATTCTGAGCATAGTCCCAAAAGTGCTTTTTCTTTCAAGAGGCAACTGGTTTTTCTTTGAAGACATTTCGCTTCTTCTCATCCAAGAAGCTTCTTCAGCTCTGACTGGATGGAGAATGGAAGGATTTATACTCCTTGCAGGCAGCTGGTCAGTTGCATCCTTTTAGAGAATCATTGATAGGGATGCAGTGACTAAGACGCTGAGCTTGTTGATCGAAAGGTCGGCAGTTCAGCGGTTCGAATCCCTAGCACTGCATAACGGGGTGAGCTCCCGTTCCTTGTCCCAGCTTCTGCCAACCTAGCAGTTCGAAAGCAGGTAAAAAATGGAAGTAGAAAAAATAGGGACCACCTTTGGTGGGAAGGTAACAGCGTTCCGTGCACCTTTGGCGTTGAGTCATGCCGGCCACATGACCACGGAGACGTCTTCAGACAGCGCTGGCTCTTCGGCTTTGAAACGGAGATGAGCACCGCCCCCTAGAGTCGGGAACAACTAGCACATATGTGCAAGGGGAACCTTTACCTTTACCTTTAGAGGGTCATTGAGGCCACTTGGAGGTTTATTTGTGACCTCAGAGTCACCTGAATAATGCAGATGACCAGCTGTCTGCAAGGAGTATAAATCCTTCCATTCCCCACCATCTAGTTAAAGCTGAAGAAGCTTCTTGGATGAGAAGCGAAACGTCTTCAAAGAAAAACCAGAAAGTCCAGTTGCCTCTTGAAAAAAGGGACAACCTTGACCTGGAGGACTGAGAATCTCCATAGACACATTCTGAGCATAATGCCAGGACATTGAAACCCAGTTGAGTGTACGGGAAATCCTCGACTTACGACCCCAATTGAGCCTAAAATTTCTGTTGCTAAGTGAAACATTTCATTAAGTTAGCTTCGCCCCATTTTACGACCTTGCTTGCCACGGTTGTTAAGTGAATCGCCACAGTTGTTCCATTAGATAGAAGATAGATAGATAGATAGAATTCTTTATTGGCCAGGTGTGATTGGACACACAAGGAATTTGTCTTTGGTGCATACGCTCTCAGTGTACATAAAAAGACAAGATACGTTCATCAAGAATCAAAAGGTACAACACTTAGTGATAGTCATAGGGTACAAATAAGCAATCAGGAAACAATATCAATATAAATCGTAAGGATACAAGCAACAAAGTTACAGTCATGCAGTCATAAGTGGGAGGAGATGGGTGATAGGAACGATGAGAAGATTAATAGTAGTGTAGACTTAATGAATAGTTTGACAGTGTTGAGCAGAGTTTAGCAGAGTGATGACGTTCGGGAAAAAGCTGTCCTTGTGTCTAGTTGTTCTGGTGTGCAGTGCTCTATAGCGTCGTTTTGAGGGTAGGAGTTGAAACAGTTTATGTCCAGGATGCGAGGGGTCTGTAAATATTTTCCCAGCCCTCTTTTTGACTCGTGCAGTATACAGGTCCTCAATGGAAGGCAGGTTGGTAGCCATGGTTTTTTCTGCAGTTCTAATTATCCTCTGAAGTCTGTGTCTCTCTTGTTGGGTTGCAGAACCAAACCAGACAGTTATAGAGATCCAGATGACAGACTCAATAATTCTTCTGTAGAACCGGATCAGCAGCTCCTTGGGTAGTTCGAGCTTCCTGAGTTGGCGCAGGAAGAACATTCTTTAGTCATTAGTAACACGGTTGTTAAGTGAATCTGGCTTCCCCATTGATTTTGATTGTCAGAAGGTCGCCAGAGGGGATCCGATGACCTCGAGACCCAGCGACGGTCATAAGTCTGAACCATTTGCCAAGCGTCTGAATCTGCATCACATGATCATGGGGATGCTATAAAGTCCTATAATATCCTGGTCAATCATTGCAATAACTAAATTGTGCCACGTTGTGGTTTATTTGGCTTCTGCTTCCTGAAGGAATTACTGTATTTTTTGGAGTATAAGACGCACCTATCTTTTTTGGTGAGGAAAAGAAGAAAAAGAAATCTCCCTCTGCCTCTGCCTCTGAGCAATTTTGCCTCGTTGCAGCAAACAGCCTGCTTTACTTTCATTTTCGTTTTCAGCATAGCTTGATTAGCACACGGGGAAAAAAAATCTGCTCCAGCAATTTACCTCTTTGCAGCAAGCGGCAGAGCCCTGCGCAAAACAGCTGAGAGCAAATCAGCTGAGAGTCGGGAGGCCGATCCAATCAACTTGTGCTAATTAGGCTGTGCTGAAGCTGAAAGGAGCTGTTTTTTCTTGCTGTTTGCTTGCAAGGAGGTAACTACTGTGAGGCAGAGGCCAAAGGGAGGGGGCCAGTGGGTGGGCGGGGCTACATTCGGTGTATAAGACGCACCTAGGGGGGGAAAAGGTGCGTCTTATACTCCGAAAAATACGGTACACTTGGCTGGGTTCAAACTCCTGAAGTTCTCCATTTGCAGACCGAAATCTCTTGGTTTCTGAGCCAAAGCCAAGCCAATATTATTTATGGCTTGTGAGTGAAATGTGAAGACACCCAGTGAGTTGGCCCGAGAAAGATTTTTTTTTCTTTTTCCTTTTTGCTCCAGATTTTTTGAATAGAAACTGCCTTCAACATTGCGCAAAATGTAAACTTCTTTTTTCTAATTTATGTTTTCTCTTCTTTTCTTTTAAGGTGAACTTATCCGATTGTCGGAATGTAACTGTCTTCCTGGCACCTAGTGTGGTATGTATCATATTTTCTTCAGGAGAAGTTTTTTTCCTCCAGAAATTTGGGGCTCAATTGCGGTCGTAAGTGGAGAACTTTCTGTAGCCATAAGTGCGAGTTGTGCAAGTCACTTGTTTCAGTGCCATTGTAGCGTTGAATGGTCACTAAACAGTCGTAAGTTCGAGGACTACCTGTAATAAGAGCGATTCCTCTTTGAAAATCAGAAGATTTTTCTTTTTAGTTTTTTTTTTTTTTATTAAACATTTTTTAAAAAAACAAAAAGAAAGCTTTAACACTTTTTCTGTTTGAACAGTTTCACACCAGTCAAAAATTTCATAGTTATACATTTTTTCCTCCCTTATTTCTACTATATCTTTTATACATATACTTCTAATATTTATTCATTTATTTACATATAGTCAGTGGTGGGATTCAAGTAATTTAACAACCGGTTCTCTGCCCTAATGATTTCTTCCAACAACCAGTTTGCCAAACTGCTCAGAAAGTTAACAACCGGTTCTCCCGAAGTGGTGCGAACTGGCTGAATCCCACCACTGCATATATACATATCAATACCCGTGTACCCACTTTCATTCCTACAATTTTTGTTTCCTCAGATTAGCAATTATACTTCTATTTCAACCAGGGTGGATTTGATTTAAATCGAGTTGATTTAAATCACAATTTAAATCATGATTTAAATCACTAGTAAAAAGGCTTGATTTAAATCAACTCGATTTAAATCATAATTTTTAAAGAGCAACTGTCATCTCTGCTACTCCTTTGACCCACTGTTGACTCACCGATAGTCCCAGTGTTGCAGAATGTACAGCCTCCTGCTACATAACTAAGCTCCATTTCATGCTGAATAAACTAAATTATTTATGTATCTTAAATAGAAAACTACCTTACGATAGATTTTTACCCCAAAAGTTTTTTATTAAAATAAATTCGATAAAAATAAAAAAAAATCCGATTTAAATCAAAAAAGTCCGATTTAAATTTTAAAAAATCTGTTTTTTTAAAAAAAAATTTTTTTAAAAATCATTGATTTTTATCCACCCTGATTTCAACCATTATTTAATTTTTCCCTTTTATCTCTCTCTAGGGTATTTTCATTATTGCACTTTCAAGGAAGAAACGGACTTGCTTCTTCTTTGTTTTTGTTTTTTTAAAAAATGAAGCTATGTTCTTCTTTGAAAGGAGGGGACATCTGCCAAGCAATAGCAGATCGAGGATAGTTATAAATAAACCAAAAATGAATGTATAAATTTTTAACCAGAGCATCCATGAACTCTCCTGAGGTTTAGCCTTTAGCCGTTGTAAAAGCTGGATATGTTTGGTTTAATTTAGTAGGGGCACGAGTGCACTTGGGGTGTGAAAGGCAGCCTCTTCCTCTGGGCTTCCTGATGTTGACTCCCGAGACTTCTGCCATCTTCTTGAGCTTTAGTTGCAGCCCACAAAAATGCACGGCTGATGTATCTCCAGGGTCCCTGGTGCTCCCGGTGGGTTGAGCTTGGTGGGTTTTGGGCAGATGTTTCATTACTCAACTACCATGTTTCCCCGAAAATAAGACCCTATCTTATAATTTTTTGAACCCCGAAAAATAAGCGCTTGGCCTTATTTTTGGGGAGGTCTTTATTATTTTGGGGCGCATGGAGCAAGATGGGGCTTCTCTTGCTGTCTTACCTGATTTCCAGCTCTGCATTTAAGTATTTTCGGGGAGGGCTTATTTTCAGGGGGGGGAAGCTTATTTTAGTGCATGTGCTCAAAAGCCCGATTGGGCTTATTATCAGGGGATGTCTTATTTTCGGGGAAACAGGGTATTTATTTTATTTATTTATTTGTTTAAATTTCTATACCGCCCTTCTCCAATATAGGACTCAGGGCGGTGAACAGCCAAAATAAAACAAGACATACATACAAAACATACAAAATCTAAAAACTGATTAAAATAATTAAATCTTTTGGCCGTAATTAAAACAATTCCAATTTAAAATCAGTTTAAAATTTGACTCAAGCCAGCCCAGCTAGTTGAAATAAATGGGTTTTCAGGGCCCGACGAAAAATCCGGAGGTCTGTTATTATCCGTAACTCTGGGGGGAGGTTGTTCCAGAGGGTGGGCGCCACCACAGAGAAGGCTCTCCCCCTGGGGGTCGCCAGCCGACATTGTCTGGCGGACGGCACCCTGAGGAGGCCCACTCTGTGTGAGCGCACTGGCCGGTGGGAGGCTATTGGTGGCAGAAGGCGGTCTCGTAAGTACCCCGGCCCTAAGCCATGGAGCGCTTTAAAGGTGGTCACCAACACCTTGAAGCGCACCCGGAAGACCACCGGGAGCCAGTGCAGCTCGCGCAGGAGAGGTGTCACATGGGAGCGCCTCGTCGCCCCCATAATCCCCCGCGCGGCCGCGTTCTGGACCAGCTGGAGCCTCCGGGTGCACCCCAGGGGGAGCCCCATGTAGAGAGCGTTGCAGTAGTCCAGGCGGGAAGTGACGAGTGCCTGAGTGACTGTACGTAGGGAGTCCCGATCTAGAAAGGGGCGCAACTGGCGTATCAGGCGGACCTGATAGAAAGCCCCCCTGGCTACGGCCGTCAAATGATCTTCCAAAGACAGCCGTGCATCCAGGAGGACGCCCAAGTTATGAGCCCTCTCTGTGGGGGCGAGTGATTCACCCCCAATAGCCAGCGATGGCATCAGCTGGCTATATCGGGACGCCGGAAGCCACAGCCACTCGGTCTTGGAGGGGTTGAGTCGGAGCCTGTTTCTCCCCATCCAGGCCCGCACGGCCTCCAGGCACTGGGACATCACTTCAAGGGCATCATTGGGGTGGCCTGGGGTGGAGATGTATAGCTGGGTGTCATCAGCGTACTGATGGAACTCCACCCCGAAGCCACGGATGATCTCACCCAGCGGCTTTACATAAATGTTGAACAGAAGGGACGAGAGGACCGACCCTTGTGGCACCCCACAAGCAAGGTGCCTCGGGGTCGACCGCTGCCCCCCTGTCAACACAGATTGCGACCGGTCAGAGAGGTAGGAGGAGAACCACCGCAGAACGGTGCCTCCCACCCCCAACCCCGCCAGCCAGTGCAACATGATACCATGGTCGATGATATCAAAAGCCGCTGAGAGGTCTAACAGGACCAGGATAGAGGAGCAACCTGATATTACCGAGAGCACTTGTGGTGTTAACATAGTTGGGTAATGAAACTCTGCAAGACAAAAGCCAAGTTCAGAGAACACCAAGGAATCCACAATCCTTCTTCTTCCTCCTCCTCCTCCTGCCCCCCCCCAAACCCCACTCCCTTCTGGCACTGATGATGTTACCTAGTTGGGTAATGAAACATCTACAAGACAACAGCCAAGCTCAGAGATCACCGAGAACCCCATGGCTCAACGCTGAGCTACAAATACTCTCTTCTGTTGACCTATCTTTATTGTGTATTAACTAATAGATCCTTCAGAAGAACATCTCTACTCTTCTTCCTCCTAGCTGATGCTTCTGGAGAAAAAGCTACTGACGGAACTGCCAGAAGAAGCTCGGGTGGTGGCTGGGCGGTTTCCTCTCCCCAACTGGACCCACACTGACACAGCTGGGGAAGGTGTGAACCAAGCCTGGGCCTACGATGTCCAGGTGGTCCGGCAACTGAAGAAGGATGAACCAGAAGGGAGCCCAGTGTGAGAACAAGTCACCTTGGACAGGCCAATTTCTCAACAAAAACAAAAACCCACTCATCTTTGCTGAGGTGTCCCTTTCTCCATTGGGGTGGGGTGTCTCCATTTTTCCATTCTCCATTCGGTGGTGCAGTGGTTAGAGTGCAGTACTGCAGGCTACTTCTGCTGCCTGCCAGCTGCCTGCAATTTGGCAGTTCGAATCTCACCAGCTCAAGGTTGACTCAGCCTTCCATCCTTCCGAGGTGGGTAAAATGAGGATGCAGATTGTTGGAAGGCAAGAGGCTGACTCTGTAAACCGCTTAGAGAGAGCTGTAAAAGCACTATGAAGCGGTATATAAGTCTAAGTGCTATTGCCCTTCCTTCCTTCCTTCCTTCCTTCCTTCCTTCCTTCCTTCCTTCCTTCCTTCCTTCCTTCCTTCTTTCCTTTCCTTTCCTTCCTTCCTTCCCAGTGGTTAGAATGCAGTATTGCAGGCTAACTCTGCCAACTGCCAGCAGTTCGATCCTGACTGGCTCAAGGTTGACTCAGCCTTCCATCCTTCCGAGGTGGGTAAAAGGAGAACCCAGATTGTTGGGAGGCAATGTGCTGACTCTGTAAACCGCTTAGAGAGGGCTGCAAAAGCACCATGAAGCGGTATATAAGTCTAAGTGCTGCTGCTATTGCTGAACCAACAGCCTATTTAAGCTAGGGAGTGATTGGTCTTTAGAAGGGGGGGAAAAAAACCCCATTCTCCCTCCTCTCTCCTTCAACATTCGGCAGAAAGGGCAATGCTCTAGAATTTTTGCCCAAAGATTGGTCAGCAAAATCATTCATTTGGGACCGATGTGCCTGTTTATTCTTCCGATTTGCAAATTGCAGTGATCTTTGCGGTGCCTGTTTTTCTTTCTGTCTGTTTAATCCGAGCATCATGCGAATCCTTATCTTCTCAAATCCAATTGAATGGTGGGCTGGCAGAAGGAATACAGTAGTGGCCAAAATTGTGGAAACCTTTTGGGAAAAGTGTATTTTTGAGGTTGGATGGCTAATAACACCACTTTTTTTTTCTTTTTTTTTTTTTTTGAGTTTCAAGATAATCCTATTCCACTGCTGGAATGGCCTGGGAATAGCCCAGACCTTCACCCAATTGAAAATCTATGGAGCCGACAAAAGAAACTTGTTAATCAGAAGCGACCCAGCAATAAAACCCAGTTAATAGAAGCAATCTTTCAATCTTGGTTTCACATGATAACAGCTGCAGAACTCAAAGACTTGGTTCACTCCATGGGAAGACGTTGTAAGGCCGTAATTTATGCTAAAGTTACCCAACTAAGTATTAACTGACATGGGGATCATTTTTGTATATCTCGTTTTTTCCTATGGTGATCATTTTTGTATATCTCAATTTTTCTACGTGTTTCACTTTTCTTCTTTATACTGTAACCGCTATTCTAATAGCAAATCCTTCCTAAAAGTGATTGCATTACATTCTTGATTCAATTATCTTTCCATTGATATATAACTTTATGGTACTACTCCAAAAAAAGTGGTGTCATTAGCTAGTTTTAGAAAAGACACTTTTCCCAAAAGGTTTCCACAATTTTGGCCACTACTGTATATTAATAGTCCTCTAAATTGCACACAAACATGGACGTATCCCTCCTTGAGTGACATGTTGGTTAGTTGCTTTGGTTGGAGATCACTTGTGAAAGCAATCAAGTTTCATAGACTTTAATAAGAACACCAGTGGTTGATGGGGAAGACTCGGTAGAAGACAGAAGAGAAGAGAATGCAGTTCTGTTTCTTAAACCTTATTTCTGAAGGCCAGCAGATGATGAAGAAGACTTGGAATAGGATGGAATGGAAGAGAAGGCAATTCAGTGGGAAATACAGGTAGTCCTCGACTTACGACTACGATGGAGCCCAAGATTTCTGTTGTTAAGTTAATTTTGCCCCATTTTACGACCTACTTTATTTATTTATTTATTTATTTATTTATTTATTTATTTATTCATTCATTCATTCATTCATTCAACTTGTATACCGCCCTTCTCCCCAAGGGGACTCAGGGCGGTGAACAGCCAAACTTAAAACACATATAATACAAAAGTTAAGGAAAAAACTAAAAATAAATTAAATCATCGGCATTTCCAATTTAAAATCCCAGATCACAAAATCGAAAAGTTCCCAATTTAAAACCCAGAATCAATAAAATCGAAAATTTAAAAACCCCATTAAAACCATTTTAAGCTAGGCCAGCTTGCTGGAATAAATTTCAGGGCCTTTCGGAAAGCGCGGAGGTCCGGGATCAGTCGTATTCCAGGAGGTAGCTCATTCCACAGGTTGGGTGCCCCCGCAGAGAAGGCTCTCCCCCTGGGGGCCACCAGCTGACACTTGCCACTGTTGTTAAGTGAATCATTGAAGTTGTTCAGTTATGTTGTGATCTGCCAGCAACCTGCGGAGCTGGCAGAGGAGTCGGAGAATGAGGAGGCTGGGGAGGAACATGGGCCAGTCCTGGAGTCTGGGGAAGGCCCGGACGAGGCCCCTCCCATAAGGCTTGAAAGTGGAGCGTGGGCACTTTGCAGGAAAGCAACATGTTTTTGCAACTAATCGGGACTCAGCTGTGAATGAACGTAATTCACAGCAATTGCAGTAAAAGAGGTTTTTGGGGCTACTCTTGTGTTTCAATGACTCAGGAAGCTTAGGTCACAACAAATTAGTCACACGGTTGTTAAATGAATCTGGCTTCCCCATTGACTTTGCTCATCAGAAGACCGCAAAAGCTGATCACGTGATCCTGGGACACGACAGGCGTCATAAATATGAGTCAGTTGCCAAGCATCTGAATTTTGATTACGGGACCATGGGGGTGCTGCAACGGTCATAAGTGTGAAAAACAATCATAAGTCCATTTTTTCAGAGCCATTTTCACTGAATGGCCACTAAATGAACTGTCATAAGTTGAGGACTACCTGTATGTTCTTTGTGGGTTATTCAAGAGCTCATGTCATGTTGGGTTGACTGTCCAAACATGAGCTTCAGATTCATGTCTCCCCAAATTACTTAGTGAACAGTCTGGGGTTGCCTGTTGTATCTTGATCTGCCCTACCTTGCAAGTTTGCTGTGAGGATAAAGCGAACGTTGGTGCTAAATTCTTTCTTTTCTTTTTCTTTTTAAATTATTGCTATAATTGAATTGAGTTTTACTTACAGTAAATTGTACCGGTGATACCCATCAAATACAATAATTACAAATGTCAAGCTGCGCTATTCAATACTGCTGATGCTATATAACAGTGATGGCTCACCTTTTTGCCATCGCGTGCCAGGACGGGGGGCGGGGGGGTCGCGTGCGTGCCCACACCCATAATTCTATGCATCCTGCGCATGACCCCCACTCTCCTTGTTGTTGGCACGTGATAGCCCGGTAGGCCTGTTTTTCTCTCTCACCTGGCTCCAGAGCCTTTCTAGGAGTCTGGGAGGGCGAAAACGGCCTTCCCCACCCCTCTGGAGACTCTCCAGAGGCCAGAAACGCCCCATTTGCCAACTTCCGGTGGGACCGGAAGGCCCGTTTTTTGCTGTCCCCAGCCTCCAGAGCCTCTCTAGGACTCTGGGGAGGGCAAAAATGGCCTTCTCCCCCGAGGTGAGAAACGGCCCATTTGCCAGGGGGGTGAGGAAGGCCATTTTTGCCCTCCCCAGACTCCTAGAGAGGCTCTGGAGGCTGGGGACAGAAAAATACGGGCCTTCCTCACCACCCCCCTGAGGCCCTCCGGAGGTAGGATACAGCCTGTTTCCCTACTTCTGGTGGGCCCAAAAGGCCTGAAAATCAGCTGGCCGGTGCCAGAGCTAAACTTGGCACGTGTGCCATAGGTTCGCCATCACAGCTATATAATGTATGCTGGAAGAAAGCTAAACGGTACATCTAAAAAGAAGAGAAAAGAGAGAAATGGGGGTGGAGATGAAGAAAAAACTGAAATAGTGTAATACAGTACAGTAATTAACTGAAAATAAGTGAACTGAGACTAAAATCATATTTATATAAATCACGACAGGCGGTTTTTAATCAACAAATCAAACCCAGACCGAATGGAATCATATTTGATCTTCGTGTTTCCATACTAAGTCAAAATAAAGCATGGACAGATTTTGTTTTAAGTTATACAGGATGTCCTTCCAAGAATGCATAATCACCTCTTATACACACACACACACACTGTATAATATACACACAGTGTTCTATCCAAAAGCTCTTCATAAACAGACAAATTCCGGAATTTTGGAGTAGCGTTGAACAAAACATTCACATTTTTGAAGCTTAAATTTCACCCAGGAACCCACTTGGCTGCTGGTGGAAGACTTCAAGCCTTTTTTTCTTCCTCCTATCTCGGGGATGAATGTGTACCAGATGTTAGGTCCAGTTGTTACTCAGGCCAAGAGTCTAGGCCTCTTGAGAACATCTGCAAGGATTCTGATATTTTCCAAAGCTCCAGAGGGAAGAACAAGAAACAATGGATGGAAACTAATCAAGGAGAGAAGCAACCTGGAATTAAGGAGAAACTTCCTGACAGTGAGGAAAATTAAGCAGTGGAACAGCTTGCCTTCAGGAATCGTGGATGCTCCATCACTGGAGTTTTTTAAGAAGAGACTGGACAGTCATTTGTCTGAAATGGTATAGGGCCATGATGGCGAACCTATGGCATGCGTAGCCATATCGGTGGGCACGCGAGCTCAGCTCTGGCGCGCATGCATGCGCCTGACAGCTGATTTTCAGGCCTTCTGGGCCCACCAGAAGTAGGGAAACAGGCTGTTTCCTGCCTCTGGAGGACCTTGGGGTGGTGGGGAAGGCCCATTTTTCTCTCTCCCCAGCCTCCAGAGCCTTTCTAGGAATCTGGGGAGGGCGAAAACAGCCTTCCCCACTCCTCCAGGGGCCAGAAACTGCCCGTTTGCCAACTTTCGGTGGGATCATGCCATTGTATGTCAGGAGTGTAGGGGGGTTGCGCACGCAAGTGTGGGGCAGGGCGCATGTGCGCATGATACCACGACCACCATCCTTCCCCCGCTCCTAGCACACTGACAAAAAGGTTAGCCATCACAGGTATAAAGTCTCCTGCTTGAACAGGGGGCTGGATTAGAAGACCTCCAAGGTCTCTTCCAGCTCTATTTGGATAAGAAAACTACATTTCCTTGCTGAGGTTCCTTTGGGACATCAAAAATACTGGAAACTCAGGTGCTTCAGCACTCAATCCTTGGGATCCGCCTGTTCCTAGGAGTTTGCGCATTCTCACAATCTCCTGCTTGTATCTGCAATGGAAGCAAAGAGGAGATCATGGGTACTTACTTCTACTGAGAGAATCCAGGTTATCCAGCAGTTTCCAGTGCGAAAAATAAGGAGACCAAAGAGGGCAGGAGACAGGCAAATAAATGAACTCACCTGGGAGAGATTTAACCTGTGTCTTCCTTCAGCGTTTGGGAACCAGAGAGACCTGAAGCTTTCATCTTGGAATTTTTGAAAGCTCAGGATGAAGACTGACAATGCTGGCTTCGAGGGCCAGATCAGCATTGTAGTTCGCGATGGAGTGGGGGGGCACAGAGTGGGGGGAAATGGGACGGATGCCTCCTGCAGCACCCTGCCAGCCAAAATGGGACACCGGGGGGGGGGGGCTGCACACAGCCTCCTCTGCCTCATTTTCGCCCTCCATTGCCTCCTGCAGTACTCTGCCAGCCAAAAACAGGCTGTACCGGGGCCCCCCACGGCCTGTTTTCGGCCTCCAGCAGGCCACTCCTTTGATATTCCCAGGCCAGCTCCGCGGGCCGGATTTAATCACCCCGCAGGCCGGAGAACAGCCCACTGGCCTTGAGTTTGACACCCCTGCTATAGACCCAAAGAGAAGTTTTGCCTTTGGTCTCACCTCACCAGGTGTTTGTCCACATATTCCTGCAGTTCAACAACCTGCTCTTCTGCTACCATCGCCCGGGCCAGCAGCTGGCTTCTCTCCCTTTCCAGTTCCACCTGAAGTCGTGGGAAGGGAAGCAAAGATCATGAAGGATGATCAATAACCAAATGCCTGTAGAGGAGAACTCTCGGCTCTTCACAGTACAATAGACTTGAACCCCAGTTGTAAATACTAAACCTACTTTTATTATAGAGTTGCAGACTCTTGAAACTCTGAGTGTGCCTCTTTCCTCCTTGTTTTTATCCTAAAGAGTCACCTCGAGGCGAGATGGCTGGCAAATAAATCTTTTTGGCAACCTTCAGTCTCAAAAGACTATGGCAGTGATGGCTAATGTTTTTGCCATCGCATGCCAAAAGCAGGGGGAACGTGGGGGGTTGCACGTTCATGCCCATACCCATAATTCTATGCGCCCTGCCCCACGAGTGTGCGACATCCCCCCACCCCCACGCTCCCCACGCTTTTGGCATGAAATGGCACAGTGGCCCCGGTAGGCCCATTTTTTGCTCTCCCCAGGCTCCAGAGCTTCTCTAGGAGCCTGGGGAGGGCAAAAACAGCCTTCCCCATACCCCCCGGGAGGCCCTCCAGAGGCTGGAAATGGCCCGTTTGCCGACTTCCAGTCCCAATGGCAAGCGGGCCATTTCCAGCCTCCAGATGGCTTCTGGGGGGTGGGGAAGGCCATTTTTGCCCTCCCTAGGCTCCTAGAGAGGCTCTGGAGCCTGGGGAGAGCGAAAAATGGGCCTTCTGGGCCCCCCCGAAGGCAGGAAACAGCCTGTTTCCCTACTTCCAGGTGGCCCAGAAGGTGCTGAGCTCCCGTGCCCACTGATATGGCTCCGCAGGCCACCTGTGGCACATGTGCCATAGATTCACCATCATGGGACTATGGTATCGTGTTCTGGAAAGGGGTCCTAAAACAGCATCTGATGTGACTAAAAGGCCGATCCGAGAGTGGCAATCCCTTCCACACTGAGGGCAGATATATTCTGTCCCCTGCCCAGCCCCCAGATTTTGCTGGTTCCGGGACTGCCTCTTTGCCTCGGCCTGCCGAACAAGCGTCTCTTCGAATTGGAGACGGCCGTGCTGTGACTTTAGCCTCCAGGCTGAACGATCAGAGGTCAAGGTTTCCCAGTTGTTAATGTCCATTCCCAAGGCCTTTAGATCCCTCTTGCAGATATCCTTATATCGCAGCTGTGGTCTCCCTCTAAGGTGCTTTCCCTGCACTAGTTCTCCATACAGGAGATCTTTCGGAATCCGACCATCAGCCATTCTCACAACATGCCCAAGCCAGTGTAGACGTCATTGTTTCAATAGTGTACGCATGCTAGAAATTCCAGCACGTTCCAAGACTGCGCTATTTGGAACTTTGTCATGCCAGGGGATGCCAAGGATACGTCGGAAACAGCACATATGAAAGGTGTTCAAATTTCTCTCCTGTCATGCGTAAAGGGTGCAAGACAATAAATCTAATAACTAGATAAATAAATAAACAATTTAATATAGAATGAGAACTAGGGAGGGACGATAAAATTGGAGATGTTTTCTCGAATTACTTTTCTGTTTTGGGACTCAGACTTCTCTTATCTGCCTTCTGCTTTGACAAGTGGCTCTTCCTTAAGGTTATTCTCACAGTTTGTTACAAGTACAGAGATGGTCTCAAAGGAAATATCATGTAGCAATCGATGGGAAAATAACTCAGAGAATGAGAAAGAAACTCAGGATTGACTCTCTGGTATAAGAGGGAAGGAAGGGAAAACAGCGTCCAGCTTCCAAGATTACCTTTTAGCGGTAAAGTGGAAGAAAATTATACATTGAGACTTATAAGATAGGTAAGCTGACTCTACTTTATTGTAAACCTATATTAACAGAATCTTGCTAGTTTGAAAGTACAATCCTCCACCGCCCCCCCCATCTTCTTCACAGCCCAAGTAACTAAGGGAGGGTCCCTTCTGAGTCTTTTGACCCACCCGCTATCCATCTGTGGGCTATGCTGTCTCTTATCTGATTGTTCCCTATGCAAAATCTCATTGACGGGTCTCCCAAGGTCTTTCTCGCGTACCAATATCTCATCAATCAATAGGGGGACTTGGAAAAATGCACGCTGCAGTCCTTTTGTTGATGGATATAGCCACATTCTTGGAGAGTTTTACTTACTTGAGTAGTGTGGGTAAATTCCCGTAGCTGCTTCCTGAGTTCAGCCCAGCCCTCGCCCTCCAACAGAGTAGGCACAGGGAGAGGCAGTACACTGTGAATTAAAAAGAGGCACCGTTGTTACGCTGTTGGGGCTGTGCATGGATAACCCTTTTACCTTGACTACTGAATTCACGCATTTCTCAAAACATTAAGCCATTAACTAACAGAGGGGTTGGCAACCTTACACTCAAAGAGCCACAAAGGGCCTAACCGGAAGCCCCCGTTCAATTCTGGAGCTGACCAGAAGTCCGGTTCCCCCACCATAGAGTCTCCTAGCACGGCATCCTTTTTCCTCTGCCTCTCCTACCCAAAAGCCCTATCAATTGTGGAGCCGACTGGCGACAAGGAGCTGCAGCAGAGGGATGAAAGAGCCACATGCGGCTCCAGAGCCACGGGTTGCTGACCCCTGAACTAACCAAACAGATTAACTGAATTGGAAGGGACCTTGTAGGTCATCTAGTCCAACCCACTGCCCAAGCAGGAGATCCTACACCATTTCTGACAGATGACAGTCCAGTCTCTTCTTGAAAGCTTCCAGGAATGAAGCTCCCACAACTTCTGAAGGCAATGTCTGTTCCATGGTTTGATTGTTCTCACTGTCAGAAAATTCCTCCTTATTTCCAAGTTGAATCTCTCCTTGACTGGTTTCCATCCATTATTCCTTGTCTGGCCTTCAGGTGCTTTGGAAAATAGCTTGACTACCTCCTCTCTGAGGCAGCCCCTCAAATATTGGAACACTGCTATCAGTCAACCAGCTTTAACATTCGCCAAGGTTACTTGATTAGGTTACTTGCAGCTACTTGATATGTAACTGATCTAGGTAAAGATATTGAAACAGCCAGGGTAAAGGGCTGTGAGAATAACCTTGAGAGACGGGAGGAAAATCCGCAGCCTAGACAAAGGTCTGATGAATGAAAAGAGGAGGAAGACAGCAATGAACAGCAAGGAGAAGGAGTTGTGATGGGGAGATGCCTACTAAATTGGCTCTGCAATAGAGTATCTGCTTTGCAGGCCTGGGTTCCACATTGGTGGTGTGGCCTAGAGGTGGAGCTCTCGGTTTGATCCTAGGTAGAGGCAGATATTTCTCTTTCTGGGCAGAATGTGAATATATCTGCTATACAAAACTCCGCATTGGCAACAGGAAGGGCATCCGGCCAGTAAACACACTGCTAGCTCCATTCAGTTGCCCAGACTCCACCCCGCAACGATTTTGGGGTCGTTAAAAGATGATGATGATGCCTGGGTTACACATTCAAGCTCAGATGTCTCCAAAACCACAGCCTTATCCAGTGGTGAAATCCAAATTTTTTTACTACCGGTTCTGTGGGCGTGGCTTGGTGGGTGTGGCAGGGGATACTGCAAAATCTCCATTCCCACCCCACTCTGGGGCCAGCCAGAAGTGGTATCTGCCAGTTCTCTGAACTACTCAAAATTTCCGCTTCCAGTTCTCCAGAACCTGTCAGAACCTGCTGGATTTCACCCCTGACCTTATCCCTGGAGAAGACCTGTGGTAACCAGGATCTCTTACAATACTTATGCACTGGATTACAACCATCTGCTGTCTGGAGGGATGGGAGCTGTGGTACTAATAAACCCGGAAATTAGGGAGGAGGTAGGAATGAAGGAAGACTGGAAAAGAAGGGAAGGAAGGAGAGAAGGAGAAATGGTGGAAGGGGAAGGGAAGGGAGGAAGAAGGGAGGAAGAAAGGAAGGGCCGATATCAAGCTGATGGGTTCCTCGCTCTCCCACTGCCTAAGGCAAAGCCCTCTCCCTTGTAGCACTGATGATGTTACCTAGTTGGGTAATGAAATGTCTGCAAGAAAACTGCCTCACCAATTCTGTCGGCAACCCCAAATTTGGCTCAGTGGCTAAGACGCTGAGCTTGTCGATCGAAAGGTCGGCAGTTCAGCGGTTCGAATCCCTAGTGCCGCATAACGGGGTGAGCTCCCGTCACTTGTCCCAGCTTCTGCCAACCTAGCAGTTTGAAAGCAGGTAATAAAAAATGCAAGTAGAAAAATAGGGACCATTTTTGATGGGAAGGTAACAGCGTTCCATGCGCCTTTGGCGTTGAGTCATGCCGGCCACATGACCAGGGAGACGTCTTCGGACAGCGCTGGCTCTTCGGCTTTGAAACGGAGATGAGCACCGCCCCCTAGAGTCGGGAACGACTAGCACATATGTGCGAGGGGAACCTTTACCTTTACCTTTAAACATCTCGAGATTGAGCCAAACTGGGTACAAACCCGGTTTTTGCACAAGAGAAGCCTTCTCTTTAAAAAAAAAAATGGAGGTGAGAAACGCTGGGAAGGAGGCCCCACCATCTCTTGACCTTCGCCCATCTTTTATTCTGGAGGGGTGTGTTTTTTTTGTCCTTCAGGGAGCAAATCCCCTCACTTCACTTGCGGGGTGTTGAGGCTAGGTGATCTCATCGTGGGGAAATATGCGAGCGAGCCGTGGGAAAGTTTGGCCGAGTTGGTCCGAGTCTCGCATAAGTAAAATATAGGTCACTTTTGATGTTTGGAGAATTCTGACTGTAATAAAAGAATGGAATGAACGGAGGAATGCATTGTGCTCCAATTTACATGTTCGGAGGAGGGGGGACACACGGATTTGGGATACCCAGAGCTCCCTCTGGAGGGTTGTCCGTTGCCGCCAGGAATTCTCCATCTCTCTTTTTTCAGCAATTTAAAAGAAAGAGAGATTGACATTTTTTTAACAGCCAGGTCTGGCTTGGAAATGCCTGTTTATAAAAGCAAATAAATTGGTGTTGTTTGCACCAATCAGCCCTTTAAATTTTATTTTAGGTTGGCGTTTACCGTTAGGCCTCTCAAACAGCCTTTTTTTTTTTTTTTTGGCCAGATAGGCAAAATAAAGCATTAATCATGTACAAGCTTGGGGCTTCCCTTCCCCCTTTTGGTGTTCGGCCTGTGCCCGTTTTGTGAATGTGAGAAGCACTTTTGTTTCCCGGGCGTTTTAATGATGTAGCTGGGGCTTAATTGTGAATGCTTCCATTGAAAATGCTTCATGCTCTGTGGTTTAGGAAAGAGGATCGATAGATAAATGCTTCAAGGCAGGGCGCCTACTTAGGTTTCCGCTTGCATGCGCCGTCTTTCTATATGCGAGTTTGAAAGGGTTTTTTTTTTTTTTCAGGGGTGAAATCCAGCAGGTTCTGACAAGTTCTGGAGAACCGGTAGTGAAAATTTTGAATAGTTCGGAGAACCGGTAAATACCACCTCTGGCTGGCACCAGAGTGGGGTGGGAATGGAGAGTTTGCAGTATCCTTCCCCTTGAGTGGGTGGGAATCAGTGGTGAAATCCACATTTTTTTACTACTGGTTCTGTGGGCGTGGCTTGGTGGGCATGGCAGGGGAAGGATACTGCAAAATTCCCATTCCCACCCCACTCCTGGGGGAAGGATATTGCAAAATCCCCATTCCCTCCCCACTCCAGGGGAAGGATACTGCAAAATCCCCATTCCCACCCCCACTCCAGGGGAAGGCTACTGCAAAATCCCCATTCCCTCCCCACTCCAGAGGAAGGATACTGCAAAATCCCCATTCCCTCCCCACTCCAGAGGAAGGATAACCATGGGGTAGGCTGGCTCCATGAGAACACCCCCCCCCGCTGCCTCCTCAACTTACAACCATTCATCTAGCGACCATTCCAAGTTACAACGGCAAAGAAAAAGTGACTCTTGACCGTTTTCCCCGTTTGCGACCTTCGTGGCATTCCCTGTGATCATGTGATCAAAATTTGGAGGCTCGGCACCTGGCTTGTACTTGTGACAGTTGTCAGTGTCATGTGATCCTTGTTTTGAGACCTTCTGACAAGCATAGTCAACGGGAAAGACAGATTCACTTCATGACCGGGTTATTAGCTTAACTACTGCAGGGATTCCCTTAATGACTGTGGCAAGAAAGGTCGTAAAATGAGACAAAATTCACTTAACACCTGTCCTGCTTAGCAACAGAAACTTTGGGCTCCCGTTGAGGTCGTAAGTCAGGGACTGCCTGTATTACTTTTGATTAATGTTATCTTAGCTGTTCGGTTTTTCAGTTTTGTTTTGTTTTTTTAATTTGATTTATATGCCGCCCTTCTCCGGAGACTCAGGGCGGCTTACAATGCGTTAAGCAATAGCCTTCATCCTTTTGTATGTTTATACAAAGTCAGTTTATTGCCCCCACAAACTGGGTCCTCAATTTACCTACCTTAGAAAGGATGGAAGGCTGAGTCGACCTTGAGCCTTGGCGAGATTCGAACCTGCAGTAATTGCAGGCATCTGGTCTTAATAACCAGCTTAATAACAGGGTGCCTTAGACCACTGTACTACCAAGGCACTTTTCTCTCTGAATCTGTAATAAAGATTTGAATTCATAGGAGCCCCATGGAGAGGGAGACGTACTTACTGAGAAGACGTTCCAGAGATCGTTTTTTCACTTAGTTTTACCTAAAGCAACAGAAACGGGGGGGGGGGGGGGCACAATGAATTTGTGATTAGATGGATGTCCTGCCTTTATTTTATTACAACTCAAGATGTGACACAGTGATCTCCCCTGCTGTTTTCCTCAAAGTCACTCTGTGAGTTGAGTTGGGTTGAGACCGAGTGAGGCAGGGACTGGCCAGGGATGGGCTTCAAGTACGGCAGAGGTGGTATTCTACTGGTTTGAACCGGTTCACCCAAACTGGTCTTTATGCCGTCCTATTTCTGCACATTTTGATGCCGTACGCATGCATGCAAGCCGCGCACGTGAGCAAAGTACATGCACGGAGTGTCCCGTGCGCTCACATTTGCGAACCGGTAGAGCAGGTAAGTGAATCCCACCTCTGAAAAACAAGGTGATTCATTAAAGCAGCCCTGTGAACTTAGTTACAGACGGGTGGGTTCTAAAAATTTTTACTACCAGTTTTGTGGGCGTGGCTTGATGGTCAGATGACAGTTCTTTAGGATTTAGCAGAGGTACTGGTCTACCAGGCTTTTAACTGCTTACAGAGCTGTACCGGTCTACTCATTTGTTTTTGGAGGCACCGGTCTACTCATTCGTTTTAGGAGGCACCGGTCTACCCATTTGTTTTAGGAGGCACCGGTCTACTCATTTGTTTTTGGAGGCACCGGTCTACTCATTTGTTTTTGGAGGCACCGGTCTACCCATTTGTTTTTGGAGGCACCGGTCTACTCATTTGTTTTAGAAGGCACGGTCTACCCATTTGTTTTAGGAGGCATCGGTCTACCCATTTGTTTTAGGAGGCACCGGTCTACTCATTTGTTTTAGGAGGCACCGGTCTACTCATTTGTTTTTGGAGGCACCGGTCTACTCATTTGTTTTTGGAGGCACCGGTCTACCCATTTGTTTTTGGAGGCACCGGTTTACTCATTTGTTTTAGGAGGCACCGGTCTACCCATTTGTTTTAGGAGGCACCGGTCTACCCATTTGTTTTAGGAGGCACCGGTCTACTCATTTGTTTTAGGAGGCACCGGTCTACTCATTTGTTTTTGGAGGCACCGGTCTACTCATTTGTTTTTGGAGGCACCGGTCTACTCATTTGTTTTAGGAGGCACCGGTCTACTCATTTGTTTTTGGAGGCACCAGTCTACTCATTTGTTTTTGGAGGCACCAGTCTACCCATTTGTTTTTGGAGGCACCGGTCTACTCATTTGTTTTAGGAGGCACCGGTCTACCCATTTGTTTTAGGAGGCACCGGTCTACTCATTTGTTTTAGGAGGCACCGGTCTACTCATTTGTTTTAGGAGGCACCGGTCTACTCATTTGTTTTAGGAGGCACCGGTCTACCCATTTGTTCTTGAAGCGTTCCGGTCTACCCATTTGTTTTTGGAGGCACCGGTCTTGTTTTTGGAGTGCTCTGGTCTACCACCACACTACCTTTTAACACTGATCAGCTGTAGGGCGGCCCTTTGAAGCCCTGCGGCAAGAGTTTAAACAGTTTTTTTCCTTCTAGCCGATCAGTTGGGACTCGGGAGGCAGCGAATAGATTGGGGGTGGGGCCAAATAAAAGATAAGAATAACGCGGGGGGTGGGAGGACCCAGCTCCCAAACAAAGAGAACCGGTTCGTTGACGTCATATCGTCACCACTACCGGCACAGCCGAACCGGGAGGAACCCACCACTGGTTACAGACATGGGTGTTTTAATGAGTTGGCGCTTTTGTCCAAAGCAATTTAAACTTTCGACTCGAAGCGCAGAGCACAACTTGAAAAATGGTTGGCAGCAGGTGGCCGCCTGTGGTTGACCTTGGCTGAGGTCAGAACGTGATGTAGGGCTAAACCTGGTTAGTATTTAGATAGAAGATCTTCGGGAAGTCCCAAGGCAATGGACTAGATTGATAAATTGAAAAGAGAAGGCAAAGAAAAAAAAAGAGAGAAGACAAAAGAAGCAAAGCTTCTTCTCCGGGAACATTGCATTGCTAACTAGGGCATACAAAACCTTTGCCAGACCATGGGGGCATTGAATTATCGGTGTGGGCACATGCGCATGTGACATCCCACCCTGCGCCCCCCCTCTTTTGGCACGCGACGGCAAAAAGGTTAACCCTTACTGGTATAGGGCCTCCTGCTTGAGCAAGGATTGGACTAGAAGACTTCCAAGGTCTCTTCCAGCTCTATTCTCAATTATTCCTTTATGTTTATCCTGCCCATTCCTAATGTTGAATGTATTGAAGGATAGGTCAATTCAAGGATTGACCTCCCCAGCCTCATAAGATCCCCTTCCAGGGAAAAGTATGTTGTAGACTCACCTTCATCTGCAACTCATAGAGTTGTCCCTCCAGATTGGCTTTGTCTTCCCGCAACCGATTTAACTCTTGCGAGGTGTTGGTCAGCAGTTCAGCGTCCGTGATGGAGAAATAGTGCTCCGGTGGGCCAGGATCCAGATCGTGAGAGCTCAGCAACCGGATATGCTCGCGTTGTATCCTATCGCCAATCAAACATGTCATTGACCCCAGTTCTACAGTCTCGGCTATAAGGATCATAAGACAGTACCAGAAAGGTTATTAAACAGGGGAGCTATTCAGCAGGTTCTGGAGAACCGGTAGCGGAAATTTTGAGTAGATCAGAGAACCGGTAGTAAAAATTCTGACTGGCCCCGCCCCCATCTATTCTCTGCCTCCCAAGTCCCAGCTGATTGGGAGGAAATGGGGATTTTGCAGTAACCTTCCCCTGGAGTGGCGTGGGAATGGAGATTTTACAGTATCTTTCCCCTGCCATGCCCACCAAGCCACGCCCACAGAACCGGTAGTAACAAAATTTGAAACCCACCCCTGGAGCAAGCCCCATACTAGCACTGATGATGTTACCTAGTTGGGTAATAAAATGTCTGCAAGCAAACTACTAAGCTCAGAGAGTACCAAGGACTCTGCAGAGCCAGGTATTTTAGAAGATGTAACATCTTATTTATTTATTTATTTATTTATTGGTTCAATTTATATGCCGCCCTTCTCCGAAGACTCAGGGCGGCTTACAATGCGTTAAGCAATAGCCTTTTGTATATACCTGCTTAGTAGGGCTTTCCCCCCCCCCCAAAGCGGTGTTCTTTTTTATACAAAGTCAGCTTATTGCCTCCACAATCCGGGTCCTCATTTTACCTACCTTGAAAGGATGGAAGGCTGAGTCAGCCTTGAGCCTGGTGAGATTCGAACTCACAGTAATTGCAGGCAGCTGGTGTTACTTAACAGCACTTTAATCTGCTGCGCCACCAAGGCTCTTCTGGGTCTCAGTCTAGGTTTTGGGGTTTTCTGTCCTCCACCTTGGCCCCTTCTCTTACCTGTAGGCAATGAGTAGACCCTCATGCTTCTTGACCAAATTCTGCATGCGCTTCTTGTAACCACGAGCAGCTCTCGCCAACTGTTCCTCCCGAGATTTATAGGAAGCCCGGATGTCTTTCAACATGCTGCCCACAAAACGCTTCATTTGAATGGGTTCCCTTTTAGCCGTTGACGATGTACTATCGGTGTATTCCTTGAAATACAAATACATTTGGTGAGACTAGAGAATGGGGCATTCTAGCATTAACTGCTTACTGACCCATCAGGTCACTGATACATTTGGAATAGGAAGAATGAAACTGGGGGAAATAAGGAACTGAAAGTACCAAATGGCTGAAAGCTTCAAATGTACACGGGTGTTTACGGAAAGTGACGGTCAGTAAGAAAGAACAGGGAAGTGAAACCGTGGAATGCGTATGTCACTACAAAGTATGTCACCTCTCGTCTGGACTATTGTAATGCTCTCTACATGGGGCTCCCCTTGAGGTGCACCCGGAGGCTCCAACTGGCGCAGAGTGCGGCCGCGCGGGTGGTTATGGGAGCAACATGGAGCTCCCATGTAACACCTCTCCTGCGCGAGCTGCACTGGCTCCCGGTGGTCTTCCGGGTGCGCTTCAAGGTTCTGGTTACCACCTTTAAAGCGCTCCATGGCTTGGGACCTGGTTACTTACGGGACCGCCTACTACCATCAACAGCCTCCCACCGACCAGTACGCTCCCACAGAGGGGCTCCTCCAGGTGCCGTCGGCCAAACAATGTCGGCTGTCGGCCCCTAGGGGGAGAGCCTTCTCTGTGGGGGCACCGACGATCTGGAATGAGCTCCCCCCAGAGATACGGAGGATTCCGGATCTGCGCACCTTCCGCCGTGAGTTGAAGATGCTTTTATTTCATCAAGCTGGCCTCGCCTAAATCTTCTCCCTTTTAAGTGTAAATTCTAAATTTTTAATGTATTTTAAAACATGGGTATCTTAAATTATTGGTATTAATTCAGCCAAATTTATTTAATTCATTTTATTCGATTTTAAATTTTGTATATCTATGTGTTTTATCTCATGGCTGTGCACCGCCCTGAGTCCTTCGGGAGTAGGGCGGTATAGAAATTCAATAAAATAAATAAATAAAAATAAAAGGAAAGTATAAGACAGTGATGGCGAACAGAGGTGGGATTCAGCTGGTTCGCACCACTTCGGGAGAACCGGTTGTTAACTTTCTGAGCAGTTTGGAAAACTGGTTGTTGGAAGAAATCATTAGGGCAGAGAACCGGTTGTTAAATTACTTGAATCCCATCACTGATAGCGAACCTTTTCGGCACCGAGTGGCCAAACCGGAATGCGTGTGCAATGCCATGCGTGTGTGTACATGTGCATGTGCCGGAGCGCTGGAAACCTGAAGACCAATTGGCCGGTGCGCTCATGCCTGGTTTTTGGCTGTTTTTCAGGCTGTTTTTCAGGCTGTTTTTGGGCTGTTTTTTGGGCTGTTTTCAGGCTGCTTTTCAGGCCATTTTCAGGCTGTTTTTCGAGATGTTTTCAGGCTGTTTTTTGGGATGTTTTCGGGCTGTTTTTTGGGATGTTTTCGGGCTGTTTTTTGGGATGTTTTCGGGCTATTTTTCCAGACGTTTTCAGGCTGGTTTTCGGGCCATTTTCAGGCTGTTTTGGGGGCCATTTTCATGCTGTTTTTTGGACTTTCAGGCCAGAAAATGGCCTGAAAACAGCCCAACAAATGCCCCCCAAAAGGCTGGGAAACCACCTGGGAATCGCACACACCCCCAATGAGAAATACTTACCGCCAGATCTGTGATGTACTGAACAAGGCGTGAGCGGTATTCCTCATTCAGCTCTTTGAGTTGTAACTGTAGCCTGGAATTCTCGGCCTCAACCTCTTGAAGATGGCCTTGGGAGGACAGCAATATCTGTAGCCCCAGGAGAGAAAAATGTACAGGTAGTCCTCGATTTACGACCAAAATTGGAACTTGCTTTAAGGAAATGAGGACTAGGTAGGACCTCCACATTCCCAAACACTCTTACGCCTTTGAATCTGGAGTGCTGGGATATTTTTTGTTAGATGGATAAAACAATAAAGGTGGGATGAAAAATATAAAATAATAATTTAAACAAAGAGGTTGGAAGAAGGAATGGAATGAGAAAAGAGCTGAGGGGACTAACTGCAACATATGGTGATCTTGGACCAATCACCAGGAGATGGTGAGTTCTAGTCCCACCTTAATCATGAAAGCCAAACTGGGTGCCTTTGGGCCAATCACCAGGAGATGGTGAGTTCTAGTCCTGCCTTAGGTATGAAAGCCAAACTGGGTGCCTTTGGGCCAATCACCAGGAGATGGTGAGTTCTAGTCCTGCCTTAGACATGAAAGCAAAATTGGGTGACCATGGACCAATCACCAGGAGCTGGTGAGTTCTAGTCCTGCCTTAGGCATGAAAGCCAAACTGGGTGCCTTTAGGCCAATCACCAGGAGATGGTGATTTCTAGTCCCCCCTTAGGTATAAAAACCGGCTTGGTGACTTTGAGCTAGTCCATCTCTTAGTCCAACCCCCTCACAGGGTGGTTATGGGGAAAATAGGAGAAAGAGTATTAAAGATACTGTCTGCCTTGAGCTACTTACAAAATAATACCGGCTTGTCTCCGCTAAAAGCCATTGATGGTTTTTATTGAGTATTTATTTATTTATTTTATTTATTTAATCTAATTTCATACCGCCCTTCTCCCGAAGGACTCAGGGTGGTGCACAGCCAAAGATAAAACAAACACATATATAAAATTTAAAAGCAATTTAAAAACATATAGTACTAGTACTATCTTTATAGTACAGTTCCATTAACAGAATCTTGCTAGTCTGAAAGTTCCCCTCCCTTCCTTTGCTTTTACTCTCTGGAAAACTAGGGAGGGTCCCTCCTGAAATGTCCTCCACATTCTGCCTCCTTCTCTGAGCTGACATACCTTTTACATGCTGGTTTTCCAGTCTCTGACTCTCCCTCCTGTATCCCAAGGCCATTCCCACATACCGTTACCCATCCCTTTGCATAAAAAGCAGGACTGATTGATCCTCACCGCCGACTCTTCTGCCAGTTTATGCTGCGTGTGCCGAATTGCTTTCTTGGCCTCCTGCAATTCCTTGCCCATGGTGATCCTGGAGACACCAAAAACAACATACTCATATTTTTTGGAATATAAAACACTCCGGAGTATAAGACGCACCTTAGTTTTTGGGGAGGAAAATAAGAAAAAAAAATCTGCCTCGGCCTACCAGCATCCGTCGGTATTCATCTGGCTAGCGTCCTGTCAGTGTGTGAGAGAATTGAGGGCTGTTTGGAAACTGAAACAGTATTTGCTGTGTGAGCAACAAGGAAGGAGACAGCAAGGAGCCTGGGCGTGACTTAGGTCAACTGTGCATGTTGTGCTGATCTCTGAAACTAAAACTGAAACTGAAACTCCTCTCCTCTGCTTGTGTTGGAAAACCTGCTTTTGGTATTGTATATTTACTTTATATTATATATAAAGGGAAGTTATTGAATCCTGCTGAATCAGTTACTTGTGTGTGCTTTCTGGATGCCATTGCTGCTGCAAACTCTGACAATCCTTGCAGCAAATAGCAAACAGCCAGGTCAGCTTCAGCACATTATTGCAGCCTGATTCAGCACGAGCAGCTGATTGGTGGGTGGATCGCCCTCTCGGAATACCCCCGATCAGCTGTTCAAGGCTGCAGGGATTGCCACAGACCATCGTCTCCTCTGTGCCTCGCGTTTTTGGCTACATTCGGTGTATAAGACGCACCCAAATTTTCACCCTCTTTGCGGGAGGGTGGAGGAATAATGCGTCTTATACTCTGAAAAATACAGTAAATATTGCACTTTTTCCTTTATTCTTGGTGAGCTGCTCTTCATGGACCAGCAGCTCTGTTTAATGCTTTTAGGCAGATACAGGAGATAGAACAATTAGGGGAAATTAGTGAGGCCTCTCTTTTCTGGCACTTGCTGTTATTTGGAGGCAGGGATATATTTCCCTGTGTCAAGTTTATTTTATTCTTAAACTGAAACTTCAGTGTGGTTCATTCAATGTCAGCAAGGCACCAAGGTTTAGTGTCTGGGAAGCTCTGGGCAGTGCCAAAATATGAAATCCTGAGAACACAGATGCTACACTCTTGTCCCAGAGGTGTTTTTTCAAAAGGCAACTGGACTTCCTTTGTTTTTCCTTGAAGACGTTTCGCTTCTCATCCAAGAAGCTTTATCCTTCCATCTTCCACCATTCAGTCAGAACTGAAGAAGCTTCTTGGATGAGAAGCGAAAGGTCCTCAAGGAAAAACAAAATCCGATTGCCTTTTGAAAAAGGACCTTTGGGACAGCCGTGACCTGGATGACTGAGAATCTCCATAGACATGTGCTACATTCTTGTTTCCTATGATCTTGGTGAGGAGGTCCACATTATGTATATGGCTACCAGTGGTGAAATGTAAAATTCGGTACTACCGGTTCTGTGGGCATGGCTTGGTGGGGGGGGGGATATGACTGAGTGGGCGTGGCCAACTTTTTTTTTTAACTTTTAAAACCATTTTTTCGGCTGAAGAGGTTGTAAAAAAATGCTTTTAAAAGCCTCTGACGATCCCAGCTGACTTGCCTGATCGGCAGAGACTTTGTTTTTACTTTTAAAAGCATTTTTTCGGCCAAAGAGGTTGTAGAAAAAATGCTTTTAAAAATAAAATAAAAAGCCTCTGATGATTGCGTGGCTCAGCTCGGCATGGGGGTGGGGAGGGATTTTTGCTACCGGTTCTCCGAACCACCCGCCGCCATCGCTACTGGATCAGGCAATCCGGTCCGAACCGAGAGCATTTCACCCCTGATGGCTACATATATTGCTTAGCACATTGTAAGCTGCCCTGAGTCTCCGGAGAAGGGCGGCATATAAATCAAATTTAAAAAAAAATATGGAACTACGTATATGGCTGCCATGAAAACCTGAACCTATTCCTTCATTTTGCAACTCTTTGGAATAGAATTGTCCAATGATTGTGACCCAAAACCAGTCTCCTCTGTTTTCAAACCCAAATTTGGAGCCTGCAGTTAGAGGAATGGAACTCCAAATTGTGCAGTCAATGGATGAGCTTTCTCTAGCCTACTGATCATATCTCCAACTTTCAACCTGGAAGAGGTTGGCAGGAAACGGATATTAGCTGTAGTATTTGAGAAATAGAACGTTGAGGAAGATCAGCATCTCAATCTGTAGGGAGAGAGCTGGAATAACCTCTCTCAAATACACCTCTAGGGCTGCTCTCCATGGTCCTGAACTCAAGTTCTGTTGCTTATTTTTCTTGTATTGTTGACTTTTTATGGTACTTTTGAGCCTCCTCCTCCTCCTCCTCCTCCTCCTCCTCCCCCTCCTCCTCCTCCTCCTCCCCCTCCTCCTCCTCCTTCTCCTCCTCCTCCTCCTCCTCCTCCTTGTGTTGGGTGAAGCATTTGAGATGTCCACCTATATTTTCCTGCTTTTCTTCCGAGACCAAGCCAAAAGAATATATATGATTAAAAAGGAAAAAAGGATCACAACAACGACAACATCTATCATCTATCAACTTTGGGACAGAAAGAGAAGGCCTTGGATATGCTAAGATTATCCAGAACAAAGAAAATTCCTTTAGCTACAGGTTTGATTTAATACACAAGCAAGTTTCCAATCCTTGGAATTTCTTAAAATGCTTTTAAATGTTGCGGTCCCATATCTGTAAAAGGGTGAAGGAGAAACGTATGACAGATCATTCCAGCTATCTACCTTGGACAACAATTTCCACTGTTTCTTAATGAACACAATTGGACAGCTAAAATGTTAGAAGCCCATAAAAAATCTGCAAAGCACACGTTCTCAGTTGGTTTAATTAGGACTCAGGTATGGAGAGATCTTACTCACATTCTCTCCTCCAATTTCTGTTGCTGGGAATTGTACATTTCTCTCATTTTTTCCATCTCTTCAGTAATGTGACCTTGGTTTCCAAGTAACTGTTAAAGGGGAAAGCAACCATTCAGACAGAGCTATGTGTCTTCATCACTGTTCATCCTGAATATTTTCAGTCTGGTTCACTTAGATCAGGGGTCAGCAACCTGTGGCTCTGGAGCCGCATGCGGCTCTTTGGGCCTTCTGCTGTGGCTCCCTGTCAGGTGATCCCATCACTGGCTAGCCCCATCCCTTGCCCTCCCCTCCCAGTCACTCCTCGCCTGGCCTGAGAAGGTAAGGGCGATGGCAGGGGATGGAGAAGCGGCCATGGCGGAGACAGAGAGAGCAGGAGAGAGAGACAGAGAGAGATACAGAGAGAGAGGGAGAGGGGGGAGAGAGAGGGAGGGAGGGGAGAGAGGGGAGAGAGAGATATGTCAAAAAGATTTTGTAGTTCCCGGTGTTTTTAAAAACTGGTTCTCTGCCCTAATGACCAGCTGGGTAGGTGTGGCTAGGGGAGTCATGTCACTGGTGGAAGTGAGTGACATTGAGTTGGCCATGCCCACCCAAGTTTTGTGGCTCCCGGTGTTTTCTTTTCTGTGGGAAATGGGTCCAAATGGCTCTTCGAGTATTTAAGGTTGCAGACCCTTCACTTAGATTATAAACTCCATCATTTGGGGGAATGAAGTGGCTGTGCCATTCAACTCACACTTTTCTCCAATTTTTGAGGTTCTTGGTCTGAAGCCACTGCCACATCTTTGGGCTAAAAGAAACGAAGCATGCATGGGAACAGATCAAGTCGATAAACATCACAATTTGTTCACAACCAAGAGAGGCACAAAGAATGAAGATACCTTGACTTTGCGGGCAGAGAGGCGATGGACCAAGGTTCGCACCCGCTTCACTTCAGCAGACGGTTCTTCAGCTTCAGACTGGGACTCCTTGCTCTTGGTTTGGAGGTGGTGTGGATGCTCCTGCTTGGACTTAACCAAGTTAAGTAACTCCCTGCTCAGTTCTTCATTCTTAGAGACCTAACAAATGAGAGAGGGGACGGATACAGTGATCCCACACGCTCACCCACCCGCCCCAAATAGTTGCAGCTTCACAAGATCACTGAATCTTGGAGAGTTCACTGTTCTCATGTGAGATCATGTAGGTGTCACGGTTCCGATGGATGCCCTAATTAAACCATGGTCCTCGAGCCAAGTTTCAAAAGAAATCCAGTTATTTATTAGGAGCAACATGTCAGCAAGTACCCAAGTGAAGTCAGCTCTGCCCCCACGTAATTTATGCCCCAGCTATGACCCTGTTTCCCACCCTCCTCCCAAGGTGTGTCATAAATCACATTCTCCAACAGAGCAGTTTTGAGGGCTGTAGAGATCACACCTCTCTGGCTGGTTTCAGTACCCTGGGATACAACCTTGAGAAAGGTATGTGTGGAATGTGCTTCTGGTTGTGGCTGCTGTGCTGCTGCTCCGTCAGTTCCCCCCCTCTCCTGCCTATGGCAACTCGAGAGCAGGCCAGGGATGCTTTACGAGTTGACAATGAGTCTACTTAAATCTTGCAGTGTTTGATTACCTCGTAAGATGTTGGTCTCTGCTTTTAAAGGCCCTGAAAATATCCCAACTCTAGAACTACTCGCTCTTAGGGCATGAAAACAAGCATGATTGTTCCAGCAATTATATGAAGACAATTTGCAATAAAATGGCCTTTGAACCTAAATCTTCAGGTTTGGACATCAAGCTTGGCATGTCCTAATTATTACCAACTACCCCTACCTTTCCTGTCCCACCACTTGATTTTCTTCCTGACCAGATATGATTGTGCTGATGATGGAGATGGTAGTGGTGCCAGGTATGAATCAGAGGGTGAGGACAAGGTGATTCCAGAGGTGGAGAGAGAGGCTGAAGACGAGTACTAATATTCCAGAGAAAGATTGATGGGGGTATGGTCTATTTGTTTGGCTGATTCTGTTTGATGGGTGAGAACCAATCCTAATTCTCTTCCAGAGACACACTTGATTTTCCTGGCTTGGAGTTGATCTCCATTCACCCTCTTCCCCTTCCACTTTCTTCCACTTCCATCCCCTTCCATATCCCCATACCAACCATCCATCAAAGAACTTTCTTTGGAACTACCTTCCTTGTATTTTTTTTCTTCCTTTTCCTTCCTTGATCCTCCATTCCCTCCTCCTTCCCTTCCTTCCTTCCTTCCCTTCCTTCCTTCCTTCCTTCCATCCATCCATCCATATCCTTCCATCCATCCATCACCATTCATTCTTCCTTTTCCTTCCTTCCTTTCCTTCCTTCCTTCCTTCCTTCCTTCCTTCCTTCCTTCCTTCCTATCAATGTCCCTTCTTCCTTCCTTCCATCCATCCATCCATCCATCTTACCTTCCATCCACTCATAACATTTTCTTTTCCTTCCTTCCTTCCTTCCTTCCTTCCTTCCTTCCTTCCTTCCTTCCTTCCTATCAATGTCCTTCCTTCCTTCCTTCCATCCATCCATCCATCATCCATCCATCCATCATTCATCTTCCTTCCATCCACTCATAACATTTTCCTTCCTTCCTTCCTTCTTCCTTCCTTCCTTTCCTTCCTTCCTTCCTTCCTTCCTTCCCTTCCTTCCTTCCTTCTTCCTATCAATCAATGTCCCTCCCTCCCTCCCTCCTACCTTCCTCCCTTCCTTCCTGGATTCCCAGGATGAAAGGAGCAAGATACAACTCAGTTCTGACAGTTTGTATGAGAGGGTGAAGACAGCTCCTCCCTACTACCGGTAACTCTCAGCGTCTATGCTTTATGTAGGTGCTAGCTTGCTTCAGTTTGGCAAGATTCTGTCTATAGGTGAAGAACAATAACCTGCTTGGGAGAAACATACATGTCTTTCTTGGTTTTTGGAACCTGATAGTTGCCTAGTGTCTGAAGCAGGTGAAGGGTTACTCATGAGCCATTCATACTTCCTGTTCATGCTCCTTGTCCAATATAAGGTAGTTGCTCTTCAAAGCAAGGTACTCGTTTCCCAGCTCCTTGTGGTCATTCTCCAAGGCGTGCAGGCGTTCCTGCAAAGCACCACGTTCGCCAGTGGTCCTCTCATCACGGAGCTCAGTCTCCAGAATACGATTCTCCAAGTCCAAGATCTGGGAGAGTAAATCCAGAGAGAGAGAAATGCAGGTCAAAAATAAGCATGGATCAAGAATGGGAATAGGAAAGTAGAACACATCTTAAACAGGGGTGGGCTGCTGGGGGTTTGCCGGCGTTCGGGAGAACCTCTAGCTAAGATTCTGTGCAGCTCAGAGAACCCCCAAATCCCACTCCTGGCTGGCCCTGCCCATCCCCCCCCCCGTAGCCCATTTTGGATACAGGTAAGTGCAGGGCGCACGCAGACACTCTGGGAGGGTGAAAAACGGGCCTACTGGAAGTAGGTAGTAGGTTCCGCACTCCAGAGAGCCTCCAGAGCCTGGGGAGGCTGTTTTTGCCCTCCCGGAGGCTCAAAAAAAGCCTCCAGAGCCCTCCCCCCCATGGTGCAGGAGGCTGACTAGGCCACGCCCACCATGGCCACGCCCACCCAGCAACCGGGCAGAGAACCCCTTGCTAAAATTTTTGAAGCCCACCCCTGGAATCAAGTATCAGTTTATAATGATGCAATAATTAAGTCCCCTACGAAAGATGACATACCAGATTCTTCAGTTCAAAGTTCTCAGCTTCATGTTGTTCTCTCTTTTTATTAGTTTCGATCTGGAAATCGACAAAGTCTTTGGAAATCTACGGAAACAGATACATCAAGCTTACTTTGAAAAAAAGCAGCAAGAATTTGTCCTCTACGCCTCCTTTTAATGACCCCATAACCCCTTGCATGGTGGAATCTGGGCAACTGAATGTTTACTGGCCAGATGCCCTTCCTGTTGCCAATGCTGAGTTACATATATTCAGCAGATATATTCTCATTGAGCCCAGAGAAAGGAATATCTGCCTCCACCTAGGATCGAACTCACAGCCTCCTGATTGTGAGGCGAGAGCTCCACCTCTAGGCCACCGCACCACTCAAATTCATCCCCTATATGCCCCCTATAAAACCAGAACTGGTGTTGTAGGTGTCCCTAGAAACAGTTGAATGTGACCTTCTGCATGAGGGACATTTTTAGTATTTCCACAGAAAATTGGCCACCCTTGCAAAGCTGATATCTGGGCTTATTGAAGAATCAAGTGCCTCGAACCCAAGAGGAAAGAACAAAATGCTTATTGCTTCTCTTCAGGTTCAACAGAGCAGCAAATTTGTGCCCCTGTTACCTTGAGCTTCTCCTCTTCACTGCGGATCAGCCTGGAGGACAGGTCCGCCTTGGAGATAGCCAGTTGCCCCAGCCTCTCCTGCAATTCTCCCACCTTGCTGTAGAGCCTTTCATTTCGATCTTGCAGCTGAACCTGAGTGAGGAAAGAGGGAGATTCGGTGCTCCTGGAGAAGAGTTTTAATATTCAGGCAACTTGATACAATCAAGATCAAGAGAGGTACTAATACCACTCTGTAAAGCCTTAGTAAGATCACACCTAGAATACTGCATCCAGTTTTGGTCACCACACTAAAAAAAAGATGTTGAGACTCTAGAAAGAATGCAGAGAAGAGCAACCAGGATGATGAGGGGATTGGGGGCTAAAACATATGAAGAACGGTTGCAGGAACTGGGCCTGGTAGTCTAGTGAAGAGAAGGACCAGGGGAGACAGGATAGCAGTGTACTAATATTTGAGGGGCTTCGACAGAGAAGAGGGGGGTCAACTTGATGCTGAAGATGTTGAGACTCTAGAACAGGTGTCTTTAAGCTTGGCAGCTGGTTTGGAGGAAATTTAAGAAAAATGGAAAACAAGTTTGAACACGGCAAGTGAAGTTTCGTTTCTGAGGCTTTTTTTCTGAAGCTTCTTCCAGAGGCTTCTTTCAACCTCTGAAATCTCTGTTTGCGAGGCTGGGCTGGGCTACATTCGGACTGTAAGATGTACCCAGATTTCCACCCTCCTTTTTGGGGGAAAAAGGTGCATCTCATACTCCGAAAAATACAATAGACAGACAGACAGACAGATGATGGACAGACAGATGATAGATAGATCTTCCCCCCCCAAATGGCGCAGAGTTATTTTGAAGGTTATAGATCAGTGATGGCGAACCTTTTCGGCACTGAGTGCCAAAAAGGAAGTGCGCGAGCACTTGTCAGGGCCACAACCCGGAAGAGGAGCTGCCCAGGACGGATGCACGCACCCAAAAATGAACTTCCAGTTTCTGGCGCGCGTACTGTATGTGGGCTGGCCAGCTACTCTTCCAGGTTTCCAGGCACGCATGCACACACAACAATCAGCTGGCTGGTGCACATGCTCACGCAAGAAAACGGAAGACCAGCTCTTCCAGTTTCCAGCACCGCTAAACGCAAAAAGGCCTGCTGATCATCGTGCACACATGAGCACCAGTGGTGGGTTGCCCCCGGTTCGCACCAGTTCTATAGAACCGGTAGTAAAACCAGCCGGAGGCTTCGCCCACTGACCCCGATGTCATTAGAACGCTTCTGCACATGCGCAGAAGCTTCTGCACTTGCGGCCCCATTGCAAACCGGTAGTAAAGGTATGTAGAACCCACCCCTAATGCGCATCATAAGCCCGGAAGAGGAACGTGCTATGCCGCGCGTGCCAGGCGACATGGCTCGGGCAAGCATGCCATAGGTTCACCATCACGGTTATAGTTAGTTACAATAGCTGCCATAGCCTGTTTGAAATGGGAGTTTAAAGCAGGGGTGAAATGCTCCCGGTTTGGACCGGATCACCCGATCCGGTAGCGATGGTGGCGGGTGGTTCCAACGAAAAAATGCTTTTAAAAATTAAAAAAAAGCCTCTGATGATCACACGGCTCAGCTGGGATCATCAGAGGCTTTTCAAAGCATTTTTTTCTGCAACCTCCATTTTTTCTGGAGCCTGGATAGCTCAACAGACTAAAAAGCCTGTTATTAACATTCAGCTGTCTGCAATTATTGCAAGTTCGAATCTCCCCAGGCTCAAGGTTGACTCAGCCTTCCATCCTTTCTAAGGTAGGTAAATTGAGGACCCAGTTTGTGGGGGCAATAAGCTGACTTTGTATAAAAATATACAAAAGTATGAAGGCTAATGCTTAACGCATTGTAAGCCGCCCTGAGTCTCCGGAGAAGACTCCGGAGAAGTTTTTTTTAAAAAAAAAAAAAACTCTTGGCCGAAGAGGTAGTAAAAAAAATGCTTTGAAAAGTCTCTGACGATCCCAGCTGAGTTGCCTGATTGGCAGAGGCTTTTCAAAGCATTAGAAAAAAATGCTTTGAAAAGTTTTTTTAAAAAAAAGTTGGCCATGCCCACCCAGTCACATTACCCCACCACCACCAAGCCACGTCCACAGAACCGGTAGTAACAAATTTTACATTTCACCCCTGGTTTAAAGGGATAAAACTGTTCTGGCTATCTCTGCTTCCTGGACCTTGGTTATTATAACACCAATATAACAGGACAGGAAAGCATTTATTTGAACCCTTCTCTTTTTTTCCATCCACTTACATTTTCATTGGTGAGGCACTGAACTTGCTCACGGAAAGTGCCGAGATCGCTGTACTCAGGACTTTTGGCCATGGAGTCCTAGCAGTGAGGATGAAGCTCTGCCTGCACGGAGCAAAATCCAGGAAGGAGCCAAAGAATATTGTCTGAATGGCCAAGGAAGGAAGTTTTTTTTTCCTTGTTCTGGCGGGCGAAGGCAGGGTTGCTATCAACTCCAGTTGCTAACAGGCGTGGCTCTCAGCTTCGTAGGAAGGGGCAGAGAGACAGGTGTACCTTCCCTCCACCGAAGAATATAATCAGCTTAACAAAACTCAAATCAAACTTTCTGGAAGAATGCTATTCAAAATAAAGTGAGGTAGTGTTAAGATCAGGGGTCTCCAACCTTGGCAACTTTAAGCCTGGCGGACTTCAACTCCCAGAATTCCCCAGCCAGCAAAGCAAAGCTGGCTGGGGAATTCTGGGAGTTGAAGTTCGCCAGGCTTAAAGTTGCCAAGGTTGAAGACCCCTGGTTAAGATTGTCCCAGAAAAGGTCTGAAATGTGATATCCCCACCCCCTATTGAGTTGTCTGAATTACACAAAAGGCCAGGTTTTCTTTTCTTTGGACCAAACTTTCCATTTTGAGAAATGTATTAGGGGCTCACTCTTTAAAAAAAAAATATATGATAGATTGGGGCTACAATAAAGGCTGTTCGTTTAAAGCCACTTCCGACAGAAATTTTGAAATGTTTTGGCAAGTGTAGTGGTAGTTTTGTCTATAACCCCTCGATTGCGATTCAAGGGAATGTTTGACAAACGTTCTTTGTCAAACCAGCGGAACTGAATTATCCCTTTGGGTGATTTCATTTTTTTTTTTTTTTTGGCCTCTGTTCTTCTAATGAAAATTAAATTGGAGCATTCACACATTGCCTTGCAGTTTTTCAAATTTGAGTTATGTGCAGTTCAACTCCCAGAATTCCCCAACCAGTTTAATGATGTGGTTAGGGTGCCCTTCCTTCCTTCCTTCCTTCCTTCCTTCCTTCCTTCCTTCCTTCCCTCCCTCCCTCCCTCCCTCCCTCCCTCCCTCTCATTATTATTAGTATCCTTCCTTCCTCCCTCCCTTCCACTTTCCTTCCTTCCTTCCATCCTTCCCTCCCTCCCTCCCTCTCATCATTATTAGTATCCTCCCTCCCTCCCTCTCATCGTTATTAGTATCCTTCCTTCCTTCCTCCCTCCCTCTCATCATTATTAGTATCCTCCCTCCCTCCCTCTCATCATTATTAGTATCCTTCCTTCCTTCTTTCCTTCCTTCCTCCCTCTCTCATCATTAGTATCCTTCCTTTCTTCTTTCCTTCCTTCCTCCCTCCCTCTCGTTATTAGTATCTTTCCTTCTTTCCTCCCTCCCTCCCTCCCTCCCTCTCTCTCATCATTATTAGTATCCTTCCTTCCTTCCTGGGGAAGCTGGCTGGGGAATTCTGGGAGCTGAGGTCCATAAGTCTTGAAGTTGCTAAGATGGACACCCTTGATCTAGATCAGGCGTCCCCAACCTTTTGGACCTCAGTGACCACTAAATTCATAATTTTAAATCCCGTGGACCACTAATATGATTTGCCTAATGACTGGCTGGGTGGGTGTGGCTAGGTGGTCACGTCGAGGGGTGCCGCACCGGCCTCTACTCGCCCCTCCTGTCCCAGTCCTTCCTCGCCTGCCCGCCCGGGCTCCTTAAGGCCCCAACAGGAAGCAGCTGTTGGAGCTAAGCAGCCACCACGAGAAAAAGTTGACAAAAGAGCTCAGTTCAAATTGGATCTGACCGAGAAGGAGGCTCAGCAGAAGCACCTCACTGAGGACTACGAGCATAGGCTTTCCAAGCAGAGGGAAGACCTGCAGGAGTGCAAGGCCAGGTACCGACGCCTGGAGGCTCAGCGGGCTGAGATGGTCAATCAGTTCCAGGCGATGATGCAGTCCCACTGGAACGAGACCCTCCAGCTCTTCGCCACCAACGGTGCTTCCCTCCAGCCTTCGGCCAAAGCCCCACACCAGGAGTCTGAAGCAGACCCCAAGACCCCGAATTTCTTCTCCCCTCCGACCCACACAAAAAGACCCCGAAGGGGGGGAGTCCCTGCAGCAACACAAACGTTCATTGCATGTATCCAGCCCAGGGGCCGTAGTTTGAGGACCCCTGATTTAGTGCAATATAAAAAATGCAAATAATTTTTCTGCGGACCACCAAAATTTTCTCACGGACCACCAGTTGGTGACCGCTGATCTAGATAGTCCCACCTTCATCCAGTATGAAGCAATTTTCTCCCTGTTTCGTTTCTGAACTTCAGAGAAGGTCAACTAGATGCTGCCAAACCCTGAGGTGTATTTTCATATTTTCCCCCTTCCATCCCATTAAAAAAGAAAGTTCAGGGATTGGGGGAGGGGTCTGGAGCTTTCCATTTATGGCTCCTATTCTAGACTGTTAACATGTTCCTTGGACATCTCTCAATTTGTTTGCCTCCACATTGGCCAGTAAGGGCTGAGATTAACATGAAAGCCCAATTCACAAAATTGGACCTTCTGTGAGATGGGCTTTCAGGTTGATCTCAGCCCATCTCACAAAATTGGACCTTCAATAGGGACGTGGTAGCTCAGTGGCTAAGACGCTGAGTTTGTCGATCGAAAGGTTGGCAGTTCAGCGGTTCGAATCCCTAGTGCTGCGTAACGGGGTGAGCTCCCGTTACTTGTCCCAGCTTCTGCCAACCTAGCAGTTCGAAAGCAGGTAAAAAATGCAAGTAGAAAAATAGGGACCACCTTTGGTGGGAAGGGAACAGTGTTCCGTGCGCCTTTGGTGTTGAGTCATGCCGGCCACATGACCACGGAAACGTCTTCGGACAGCGCTGGCTCTTCGGCTTTGAAATGGAGATGAGCACCGCCCCCCTAGAGTCGGGAACGACTAGCACATATGTGCGAGGGGAACTTTTACCTTTCCCTTTAAGCACCATCCCCAGTTCCAAAAGCCTTCTCACATCCATCTCACCATTTTTTTAAAAAACCTCCCTTTTTACAACCCTGTAATCCCTTAATTTGGAGTAGAATCTGAGCGACTGGATGGAGCTGAGCATTTACTGGCCGGATGCCCTTCCTAATGCCTATGCAGAGTTCACAGCAGATATTTTCTCTTTGCGCCTCGATAGAGAAACATCTGCCTCTACCTAGGATTATACTGTCAAGCTCACCAAATCTCAATTCTAATTACCACCATTGCCCAAAAACAACACTCAAAGTCATGTTTCATCAGTGAGCAATTCAATGCCTCCCCACAAAAATATTGGATTACAGTTACAGGCAGCATTGACCAGACCAGCTGAGGGATGCTTGGAGAGGAGGCAGTAATTTAATCAACATCTGGAAAGTCATAGATTCGAGGGGTCCTTGGTGCTCTCTGAGCTTGCTTATTTTTCTTGCAGATGTTTCAATACCCAACTAGATAACGTAATCAGTGCTAGTCCTAGATTCCCAACCCCTCGTTGCTTTCTTGGGAGGGGAAAGCACTGGAAGAGACCAACATTTATCTGAATATGTCTTTAGAAATATACACATTGAACCGATGAAGAGAAAGGAAGGCTGCCAATGGGCAAATGAAGTTTTTCACCCCTCTTTTGGTTCCTTAGAGTCCACTTCTCAGTGTCCATCACTTCTCAGTGTCCATCACCAGTGACCTCACCAAGATGCTCTCGGCTGGCGTTCAGCTCCTCCTGGCCAGATTCAGAAGTCCAATTAGCCAGTAGATCACTAAAATCAGGAGGGTTGCCATTGGGGGTGCCTATGGGGCTGACCGTCGGCTCCCTCCAGAAGGACTGAGGTAGCTTCCTGCTCTGCATGGGGGTGACGTGCGCAAATTTCCTCTCCAGCCTCATCAATTTCTTATTATCAGGAGAGAGATGCCGCTGAAGACACCTACAAAAACCATACTCAAAAAGTTCAGCCAGGGGGCCCAACTTTTCGTCTTTCCCACACAGGGATCTCCAGAGCTGCTCAAAAGTCTTGTGGGAGTCAGAAGAATCTTCTTCATCCTCCATCTCCCCACGCTGAGAAATCCTGATCAGGTCTGTGTAGGATATTGCTCGTCCTGGCAGTGGTGGGGAGTAGAAGTCCTCGTAAGCGTTGCAGCTGCTTTCCTCCACCCCTTCCTCCTCGTCCTGCCCTTTGTTTTTCTTGCCAAAATACCTCTGGATGTCGTTGCTGATGCGTTCAGCAAATTGGAGAAGCTGCAAGGTCTTTTTCGTGTTGTTGACGCTGGGGTTGACCTCCATGGTGGCATCTTCGTGCGCAGAGCTCACAAGATCTTCTTCTAGTTCCATCTCTTCCCTCCCTTCCTCTTCCGCCTCATCTTCCTCTTCCTCTTCAGTGTCGTCTTCTCCAGAGAAATACTGGAAACTCATCTCCTGGCCAGCTATGGAGGTCAAAAATGGATGCTGGAATTCTGTGGGTAGCCTGAACTTGCTTAGAGTTTGTATCACCCCGGCTGCCATCTTTTCCTCTTCGCTGTTCAAAGGCTTGACCTTCTGGATCAAACAAATACCCACGAAAAAATGAGAGTCCGCTGTTGGAAAACAAAAGACACAATGAGACTAGGCCGTATCAACATTGTCACCACCTCTTTCTAGGGACAAACCCTGGAGACCAAGATGGAGCCACCAAGAAAGAAAAAGAAAGTTGGTTGGCTTGTGACCGGTGGTGAAATCCAAATTTTTTTTACTACTGGTTCTGTGGGCATGGCTTGGTGGGTGTGGTGTGGCTTGATGGCAGGGGAAGGATACCCACCTATTCCCTCCTCACTCCAAGGGAAGGATACTGCAAAATCCCCATTCCCTCCCCACTCTGGGACCAGCCAGAGGTGGTATTTGCCAGTTCTCTGAACTACTCAAAATTTCCGCTACTGGTTCTCCAGAACTGGTCAGAACCTGCTGAAACCTACCTGTTCTGCCCCAGCTACGGACCCCAAAGAACGCAGCACACACAAAGTCTGTACAAACCTTAGTTTACTAAATTAAATCATCCATTTTCAAACAAAGACTGTTAATTAACTTTCTTAACAGCCTACAAGAATCCAAAGAATAAATAATCGTAATCTTACTAGGATTGGCAGAAAGCCCAGAAGCAATTTGCAGGACACTGATAAAAAAAACTAAGATCCAACGAAGTTGTTCCCTGCAAATTGCCATCGTCCTTCCTTAAATAGGCTAAGGGAGTGGCCAATTAGCCCCAAGTCCTACTCTCGAGGAGACCTCCTCCTGAGGAGCCACTCCTGCCTTTTGGCAGCTCTGCGCGCCTGTGCATCGAGACGAGGTTCCTCCTCTTCGTCCTCTTCACTTAAAGGAGCTTCTGGAGGTTCTGAAGGCCCTGGCTGAATCCCTGCCTCTGGCACCACATCTTCTCCAGCCTCCTCACTGTCCGACTCGAGCGCCAACTGCACAGGCTGCTAGAGCAGCACCACACCAGCCTCCTCGCTGTCGGAATCAGCTACTAGCTGCACAGGCTGCTGACGGGCCACAACACTACCTCTGGCACGCATGCGCACCAGAAACCCAGAAGACGAACAGGAGATTCAGCGGTGCCAGGTGACATGACTCTGCATGCCACTTCAGGCACGCGTGCCATAGGTTCGCCATCTCAAGTATAGGGTCTCCTGCTTATGCAGGGGGTTGGACTAAAAGACCCCAAAGCCCTTCCAACTCTCTTATTCTGTTAAAACCAACACTTTCAAACCCAGAATAGACCAAAGACCCAAGTTCTTTAGCAAAAGCTATTTCACTGGGGGGGGGGGGAGAGCAAAATGTAGAGAGAGAGACTATTGAATGTATTTGCCACTATCTTTCATCCAGGGCTGCCTGAGGAACTCTGGGAGTTGAAGTCTACAGGTCTTAAGTTGCCCAGGTTGGACACCTCTGCACTAAAGGATTCAGGCCACCTAATAATATTATTCTGAATGCTCCTTGCTGTCTTGTTCAGGCCCTGCAGATAGAACATGAGCATTGCACAAAGCAGGCTAAACAAGGACCCCCTTAAGGTAAAGGTAAAGGTTCCCCTCGCACATATATGCTAGTTGTTCCCGACTCTAGGGGGCGGTGCTCATCTCCGTTTCAAAGCCAAAGAGCCAGCGCTGCTCAAAGACGTCTCCATGGTCATATGGCCGGCATGACTCAACGCCAAAGGCACACGGAACTCAGTTCCCTTCCCACCAAAGGTGGTCCCTATTTTTCTACTTGCATTTTTTTTACATGCTTTCGAACTGCTAGGTTGGCAGAAGCTGGGACAAGTAACGGGAGCTCACCCCGTTATGCGGCACAAGGGATTCGAACCGCTGAACTGCCAACCTTTCGATCGACAAGCTCTGCGTCTTAGCCCCTGAGCCACCGCGTCCCTTTTACTTTTAGGACCCCTTTACTGCTATGAAAACTGTCCTGATTCCACCTGACAAAGGCATTTTTTTCAGAAAACTTTAGAACTCCTCTTCCTCCCACCCAGCATGAAAGTGGCCCGGAGTTTTAAGTCTTAAAACAGTCAGTTTGGACCTCTGCTATCGCCTTGATCCTTGGGTTGTTTTGGAGCGGTACAAAAGTCCCCACTAGACCTATTTCAGGGACTTCTTAAGAATGCTGACAAGAGCAACAAAGATGATTAGGGGACTGGAGGCCAAAATAATATAAAGAATGGTTGCTGGAACCTGCTATGTCTGCTTTAATGAAGAGAAGGACTAGGGGAGACATGATAGCAGTCTTCCAATATCTCAGGGGCTGCCCCAAAGAAGAGGGAGTCAAGCTATTCTCCAAAACACCTGAGGACAGGACAAGAAACAATCTCTGTCATTGCTCTGTGGCACCCATCTTGCCTTCAGACATTCTGAAACACATAAGGAACGGTTGCTGGAATTGGGTGTGTTTAGTTTGATGAAAAGTAGGACATGGGGTGACATGATAGCAGCCTTCCAACATCTCAGGGGCTGCCCCAAAGAAGAGGGAGTCAAGCTACTCTCCAAAGCGCCAGAAGGCAGGACAAGAAGCAATGGGTGGAAACTCATCAAGGAGCAATTTAGAACTAAGGAGAAATTTCCTGATGGTTAGAACAATTCATCAGTGGAACAACTTGCCTGCAGAAGTTGTGGATGCTCCAACACTGGAAGTTTTTAGGAAGATGTTGGAAAACCATTTGTCTGAAGTGGTGTAGGGTTTCCTGCCTGGGCAGGGAGTTGGACTAGAAGACCTCCAAGGTCCCTTCCAACTCTGTTAATCTATTCTATTCTAAGAACCAGAGAGGAGACATCTGTGTAGATGCTTAATTAAGGCTGTACTCTTCATTTTGCTCCACTAAATGATCTTTAGCCAAGAAGCCAGAGACTAAAAGGCCAGTCCCCCCACCACCACTCGCCACCAATAATCTCCAGGATGCTTACCTGATCTCTGCAGGTAATCCCCCTCTGCTTCCTTCTCTGCTAGTTTTCCGCACATCCACCTGGAGCCAAAGTATTTATAGTGGAGCTGCAAGATTGCAGACTAGCAAATATTTGGAGCCTGCATTGTAATCGTAGACTCCGTAAACAAAGCTTGGGTTTGCTTTAGTGCCCGGCAACCAGAGAACACTGTCGACAAGGAGCCAGCGAGGATGGGCGATAGGGACTCACCTTAATGGTGGACTTCCTGGGCGATTTTCAAGTGTTATGGCCACTGAGTTCCCTCCGCGCTCCGCAGCTCCAGCTGCCAAACCGCCTGGCGCCCATTGAGTCTTATCTCTCACATTGATTTGGAGCCCAAATTGATCCTGGTCAAATAGGCGTAAAATTAAATTTCATGGTCTTTTGACTCCAGGAGTAGAAATCATCTCCAGAAGAAAAGTAATGCTTATCTAACAATTTGTGAGCAAACAAGGGATGCAGGCGTTCTCCCACCTCGTTGGAAAAGTCTTTGCTAGGGAAATGCAACCTTTCGGATATCCCCCAAAGGTGATTTTTCAAGAGGCAACTGGACTTTCTTTCTTTCTTTCTTTCTTTCTTTCTTTCTTTCTTTCTTTCTTTCTTTCTTTCTTTCTTCTTTCTTTCTTTCTCTTTCCTTCCTCCCTTCTCAATCTCTTGCTTTCTCTTTCCTTTTACCTTCCTTTTCAATCTTTCTTTCCTTCCTTCCTTCTCAAACACTTTCTTTCTTTTTCTTTCTTATTTCTTACTTCCTCTCTTTCTTACTTTCCTTCCATCCTTCTTCCCATCTCTCCCTTCCTTCCTCTCCTTTTTTCTTCCTTTTCCTTCCTTCTTTCTTTCCATTCTTCACAATCAACTTCCTCTCTCCCTCCCTCCCTCTTTCTTTCTTTCTTTCTTTCTTTCTTCTTTTGAAGACGTTTCGCTTCCTAGGATGCAAATGACCAGCTGTCTGCAAGGAATATAAATCCTTCCATTCCCCACTATTTTTTTTAATTTACTTACTTATTTACTTAACTTACTTACTTACTTACTTACTTATTTGTCAAGCATATATAAAATAACAGATAAAAGTATAAACATGATTTGAATACATGAAAAGGATACGAGTAAAAAGGGACAGTAGGACAGGGACGGAAGGCACGCTGGTGTGCTTATGCATGCCCCCTTACAGACCTCTTAGGAATGGGGTGAAGTCGACAGTAGACAGTCTAAGGTGAAAGTTTTGGGGGTTTGGGGATGTAACTACAGAGTCAGGTAGTGCATTCCAGGCATTGACCACTCTGTTGCTGAAGTCGTATTTTCTGCAATCGAGTTTGAAGCGGTTTACCTTAAGTTTGTATCTATTGTGTGCTCGTGTATTGTTGTGGTTGAAGCTGAAGTAGTCATTGAAAGGTAGGATGTTGTAGCAGATAATTTTATGAGCTACACTTAGGTCAGACCGAAGTCGGCGTGGTTCTAAGTTGTCTAAGCCCAAAATTTCAAGTCTGGTGGCATAAGGGATTCTATTGCAGGTAGAGGAGTGGAGGACTCTTCTCGGGAAATATCTCTGGACTCCCTCGATTGTATTAATGTCCGATATGCAGTGCAGGTTCCAGACAGATGACCTGTATTCGAGAATTGGTCTAGCAAATGTTTTGTATGCTCTAGTTAGTAGAACAATATTACCAGAGAGGAAGCTATGCAAGATTAGGTTAACAACTCTTAATGCCTTTTTGGCAATGTTGTTACAGTGGGCTCTGGCACTTAGATCTTTAGAAATGAATACTCCAAGGTACTAACCCTATCCTGTCAGAGCTGAAGAAGCTTCTTGGATGAGAAGCGAAATGTCTTCAAAAGAAAAAAAAAACCAAGAAAGTCCAGCGGCCTCCTGAAAAAGCACCTTTGGGACAACCGTGACCTGGTTGACTCAGAATCTCTACAAACTTTTAGCTATATAATTTGGGATGAACATCCTTTGAATGGTGTGAAAGTAGGAATGGATTTCTAGAAGAAAAATTGCAGACTACAGGAACCAGGAGCACTAACTCAGGTGATCTTGAGGACACAGATAAACCTCCAAGTGCTTCAAGGACCCTCTAAAAGGATGCAAATGACCAGCTGTCTGCAAGGAGTATCAATCCTTCCACTCCCCACCATCCTGTCAGAGCTGAAGAAGCTTCTTGGATGAGAAGTGAAACGTCTTCAAAGAAAAACCAGAAAGTCCAGTTGCCTCCTGAAAAAGCGCCTTTGGGACAACTGTTACCTGGATGACTGAGAATCTCTACAAACGTTTAGGATACAATCGAGGGTTGGAAGGCCAAGATGCTTGGGTAGAAAAATCTGGGTGCCTTTCATTTTAGACTATTAAAAAACTGGGGGTCTTTATTAAACAGACCACAAAGGAACAATAATAACAAAACATTAGAAAAGGAAAGAATGAAAGAAAGACACAGGGAATACACAGTCTATGAGAGTTTCTCATATACTGCAGGGATATGAACTTTTGGAACACTGCATCTATTGATCAAAGTGTGGTCAAAAAAGGCAAGATGGTGGCCACAGGAATAATCAACGCTCTGCCTGGTTTTTATGTACCCGTAGTCCTCAACTTACAACAGTTTGTTTAGCGACCGTCCAAAGTTACAACGGCATTGAAAAATGTGACTTATGACCATTTTTCATACTTACGACCGTTGCAGCATCCCCATGGTCACGTGATCAAAATTCAGATGCTTGGCAACTGACTCATATTTATGACCGTTGCAGTGTCCTGAGATCATGGGACCTCCTTTTGTGACCTTCTGATGAGCAAAGTCAACGGGAAAGCCAGATTCATTTAACGACCGTGTTGCTAATGTCACCAGTGATTCACTTAACAACTGTGGCAAGAAAGGTCGTAAAATAGGGCAAAATTCACTTAACAACGGTCTTGCTTAGCAAGATAATTTTGGGGCTCCCTTGTGGTCGTAAATCAAGGACTAGCTGTATGACATGGCTACCATATTGCTTTTTTTCACCCATACTGCCAATAATCCTTAAAGTTTCCTTAAAGAATTAAAATTCCTTACAATAATATTGGTTTTAGAATTTCAAGCAAGCAGCCGTTTGTTTTTTTGGTTAACTTATTAAAACAAGAAATGTTTAATTATCTTATCTTATCTTATCTTATCTTAACTTATCTTATCTTATCTTATCTTATCTTATCTTATCTTATCTTATCTTATCTTATCTTATCTTATCTTATCTTAGACTCGGTGGCTAAGATGCTGAGCTTGTCGATCGAAAGGTCGGCAGTTCAGCGGTTCGAATCCCTAGCGCCGCATAACGGGGTGAGCTCCTGTTCCTTGTCCCAGCTTCTGCTAACCTAGCAGTTGGAAAGCACATAAAAAATGCAACTAGAAAAATAGGGACCATCTTTGGTGGGAAAGGAACAGCGTTCCGTGCGCCTTTGGTGTTGAGTCATGCCGGCCACATGACCACGGAGACGTCTTCAGACAGCGCTGGCTCTCTGACTTTGAAACGGAGATGAGCACCGCCCCCTAGAGTCGGAAACAACTAGCACATACAGTATGTGCGAAGAGAACCTTTATCTTTATCTTTATCATCTTCTTATCTTATCTTATCTTATCTTATCTTATCTTATCTTATCTTATCTTATCTTATCTTATCTTATCATCTTCCCTTCCCTTCCCTTCCCTTCCCTTCTTATCATCTAGTTTATTTTTGCATTCACCATTTTAGTCCAGTTTTTCTCCGGGAGTAAAGGCAGTACAGTAGAAGCTTCACACATACACGTCAAAAAATCTGTAAGGTAAGATGATTTGAGATTTACTGACTGGTTCAAAGTCACTCATCTTCTCCAGAGCTAAAAAAGGAATTAAATGAGAGTTCTCCAAGCCCTCTGACAGTTTTCCCATTTACAACATCCTGGTAAAGCAAAACAAGCTTCATTCTGTTTATTTATTTACTTGTTTGTTTCACGACATTATTTGCAAATAACTCGTGACTGGGAACACATCCAACACAGCTTCCTCCTCCTTATTTTCCCCACAACAATCCTGTGAGGTGGGTTGGACTCAGAGGCAGCATGACTGGCCCAAGAGTCATAGCTGACTCTCATGGCTAAGGCCGGACTCACAGCCTTTTGCTTTCAGGCCTGACACCTTGGCTACTCACACCCTGAAAGCATTAGAAACCAAGAATGGAGAAACCTTTCTTTAAAATACTGTAACAGGCAGATTTTAAAAAACCAGATTTTGCATAATTTGCAAAAATTGAAATTTTAGTAGATGTTTTAACCTGTTTTTCCAAATGCCCGGTCTTAACAACTTTTGCAACAAGCCAGTTTTTCCTAATACACGTTGTCCTCGACTTACAAGTTCATTTAGTGACCGTTTAAAGTTAACAATGGCACTGGAAAAAGTGACTTGTGACCAGGGGTGAAATGCTCCCAGTTCAGACCGGATCGCTCAATCCAGTAGCGATGGAGGCAGGTGGTTTGGAGAACCGGTAGCAAAAATCCATGTAACAGGGTTCCATGCATCTTGGCATATAAATAAATAAATAAATAAATAAATAAATAATTTTATTTCTATACCGCCCTTCTCCCGAAGGACTCAGGGCGGTGTACAGCCAATTTAAAAACACAACACACAACAATAATTAAAAATTAAAATAATTACATAGATTTGGCCGATTTAAAACCCCAAACATTTAAAATACCCCAATTAAAATTATTAAGTTGATAGCCCTGCCTGGCGGAACAACAGGGTCCTGCTGGCCACCTGACCAAGGAAATGCATTCGAAAAATGCTTGGCTTCCTTGGCTAGGAAACAAAGATGGGTAAAGGTAAAGGTTTCCCTTGCTAGTTGTTCCCGACTCTAGGGGGCGGTGCTCATCTCCATTTCAAAGCCGAAGAGTCAGCGCTGTCTGAAGACGTCTCCATGATCATGTGGCTGGTATGACTAAAGGCCAAAGGCTTACGAAACGCTGTTACCTTCCCACCAAAGGTGGTCCCTATTTTTCTACTTGCATTTTTTACATGCTTTCCAACTGCTAGGTTGGCAGAAGCTGG